TCTACTCACTATCGTCCTTAATCCACTGTCACTATATCGCGCTCACCACATCACAAACGTAGACTATTCTCAAGTCATCTCCCACAATTTTTTTTCCTGCTGCGGAGTGAGTAGACGCAGAGGTAGCTCCTTAGCCCTTGCTGAGCCTAAGATGTTTAAAAAAAGAAAGTTTAGGTAATTCTAGTCTTAGGAATTATACATTACGGTTTGAATAAAATTTGAAAACTTGGGTCTAAATTTACGATCAGAATCCCTTAGCACAGAACAAGATGTTTGATTTCGCTTCAGCAGATTCAGTTTTTTCAAAAATCCAGAAAATGATTCCTTGGAATGAATTTCAATACCGACGAATTTAACGTTAATTTTACTCATTTTATGGTGAAAATACGTGTGTAGTGGCGTTTAACATCATGAAAGAAAATCAATTTCAATTATAATAAGTAAGCTTAATCTGAAATTGCTCCATGTAAACTCATGTAATATTTTTGCATTATCTTTCGAAATTTTAGACATTCAACTGGTGAAGATGAATACACAAAACTAAAATAATGTATACATTAGTTTCGTATTTTGCCTAAAAAATGAAGCATTTATTTCCATCTTAGTAAATCATACGCTATAAGAATCGATAATGGTGATGTGCGACAAAATCAAAATTAATCAATTGAGACTGTATGTATAATCCGGGACGCACAAAATTGTAGTTGCCTCTGCATTTATATATCATACCATTCACCCTTAAAAGTTCCTAATTAATTAATGGTGGAATGTTCAGGTTGGCCCAAATTTTTCCCAGTTTATTAACCAAAATCCCTCATTTTGAGAACCTTCACAAGAACTTGCGTTATTAGGACAAAAAGAGGCCATTTCTCTATAAGACACACAATTTTATTAACACTCGATTCTTGGTGAGGCAGACTATTTCACCTGGAAATGGTGAATATCTATTATTTCACATACGAGGACTTATCTGTAACAATAGCGGATGTGAAAAATTACCTTTTCGAAACACATTCAAAAAATTGTTTTGGCATCGAAAAAATTTGCAGAAAATACTTGAGATATGATCTTCGAATTCTGTACATTATGCCAGAGCCAAACATATTAAATTTGTGTATGTGAACAAAATAGTTTTTTAAGCGTGTTTCGAAAAGGTAATTTTTCACATCCGCTAACGTTACAGATAAGTCCTCATACGTTTAAACGGACAAAACTCAATGTTGTCGACCCTCTAAATTCGCCACTGCTCGCCTATAGAAATACCGCTTATGTGAGGTACGCTTCTTCACAGGCCACCTTCAACATTCAGTCCTTATATCGTCGATCTGCAGAATGTATCATTGAAATACTACGTATTTGTCACGCAAGTTCGCTGCATTCAGAGGATTTTCGCCGCGCATCGAGCATTCGGTCATCCGGAGGCGCCTGGACGAACAATCGGACGGCGACATCTGCATACAAAGGGAAAAACGCGTAGGCCGGTAGTCACCACGCATGGAAAACCACGGGCGGAAAACGGAGAAGAAAATCGTCGACCCAGGGCGAGGAGGTAATTGGAGCAGCCGTAAATCAGGGAATCAAACGCTGCAGCGGATCAAAAATCCCGCCGCCGCGCGTCGAAACGCAAAACGCAAAACGCGAACGCTCGCTCGTGCGTTCGTCTCCCTCGCTCGCGGCCCTGTCGCGCTCTGCGTGAGCGAGAGCGCGCCGCCATCAGATCCGGAAAGATGGACAATGGACAAGCCGGACTCGGCGAGCTCTAATTTGGAGTGGAGTCGAAACAGTTAGAGCATAAAAACAATGGGGGCTAATTTAAATCAAACAATAGGAGGCTAATAGAAACCCCCGCTCCCCCGCGCGGCGAAGCGCTCCGCCGCGCCGGGGAAGAACCGCAGTGGCCGAGCGCGAACAATCGACCATCGATAGAATCCTTCCCCTTTAAAGCAATGTAAAAGGATCGATCATCAAGGTGTAATCCTGGCAATCGATACTTTTCTATAGGTTTGAATGGCAGATCGATCGATTCATCGACGCCGCTGAAGAACCGCGCATCCTCGCCGGGTTTCTCCCGGGAGTTGGGCGGTTCTTCCGCGGAGGACGGACGCGCCGCGCCACCCGCGACCGGGAGCCGGGCTCCAACCATTCATTTTCGTTCGGATTTTATTTATTTTTATTCGCAGCAGATAAGCAATCGCTTGATCCGTCTCGCACTGCACCGAGAAATCGAGGAAAACAGCGGTAGTGCAGCACGCGAATCCCAGGAAAAGGACCCCCCCCCCCCCAGCTCCGGCTACCGGCTCCAGCCTTACGTAACTTGCCAGCGTCTTGTCGTTGGCTTTGTTAACACATTACGCTCTAATAACACAAATGATACTGGAAAAAAGGAGATGGCCAGGGAGAGTTTGACTCGGAGAGGGCTTCTCGACACACGAGAACGAGGGACGGAGATTAATCTGAACGTATTCATGCTAAATGGAACTTTGTGCAAAAGGGAAGATGGGGTGTGCTCGATAGTTGAGGACCATGAGAATGAATGGGAATTGGACGAATTTAAATGGAACTATGTGCAGGTCGAAAGAAGGGGTGTGCTCGTTAGTTGAGGGCCTTAAGAATGAATGGGAGTTTTAAAGCGCCAGTGACGTCAGCGACGACGACCGGGCTTGACGACGACGACGGAGTTCGTCGTTGGGGCGTTGTTACTCATGAGCCCTGTCCACAACGCTCTTGTCACATGTCCAAGGCTCACGAGTTAGCCCTCGGTCCTTTTTGATTTATTAATGTCAAATCCCGCTTTTCCATTTTTTCAAATGGAACTATATCCACATTTACATTGTTTCTTATCCAGCTCACCACGAGCACACCCCATCTTTCCATTTGCACATAGTTCCTTCTAGCATAAATACGTCCAATTGTAAAACGCCATTAATGTCAGCGATGACGATCGGGCTCGTCGTCGGGACGCTTTAACTCATGAGCCCTGTCCACAAGGCTCTTGTCACATACCCACGGCTCACGAGTTAAGGCTCAATTTCTTATGATTTAATGTCAAATCCCGCCTTTCCATTTTCTTAAAAGGAACTATATCCACTTTTATATTGTCCCTTGTCCAATGTCCAGCTCACCACGAGCACACACTATTTTTCCACTTGCACGTAGTTCCTTTTAGCATAAATACGTCCATCTTACGCCGCGCTCGTAGCGATTACCGATTTAAAAGTGCACGGGAAACAGAGGCGGTTCGGACACGAGCGGGGTATGGCCTTATACACATCGATATTCCGCCTTCATTTTAATAGGTAGGCTAGAAAACATATATTATTCAGCAATGGCTATCAACTGGAGAGAGTGTATCATGCGTTGTTATCGTTGAGTTTTCTTCAAATCACAACCAAGAGAGGTTTTATAGAGACTTTGCAGGTATCTGAAATTTGATGAATTTCGTCCTAAAGTGGTAGCTACTGTGACAAATGAACACGAGGATACCCTTGGTTCGTCAATCGAACAATTATTGAGGGAGGTATGACAAAATGATCTAATCTGATAAAATACATGCGTATAAATGGGAGCTGCCGCCGGACAACGCCACTGGACGGTGCATTATTCCTCATTTTTAAATCTCCTCTTATGATATTTCCCATGTCAGACAAATAATCGTGAAAAATCGGGCTTGATGCCCCACATGGCTCCTAAAACTCAAAGGTGAGTTTTGAACACTGTTCGAATCTGAGACATTCTAACACCGAATGTGAATATTGACTCAGAATTTTTTTATGAGGCACCCGGGAAATTTTTTCCAGAGAGGAATATGAGTGTTCCCCGAGGAAGTTAGAAACCTGCTCGCATGCTACACACGCGCAAACAAAAATGCATTTTCATTTTTACTCTGGAGGGAAAAAACCAAGCCAAACACAGTTTACGCATTTGAGGGAATTAAAATTTACCACCATCCATTTAAGACGTATCACCTCTTTCTTGACCATCTTTTTTTCAAACGGGAAAGACGAGACTAGGGGCTGAGCCTATTCCCGTGGGTATCTGTCCGTGGGTGCGATCATGACTTGCAGCCCAGGAATTTGTGTGCTGGTTTATTTGTTCACAAGCCGTAAGTACCACGCTCTTTTTTTCTTGCTCGAAGAATCAAAAATCAATTTATCATGAAAAGAGGAATTAAGCCCTCAATAAAAGGACGGCTAAAAGGAGTCTTTTAACTAAGCGCGCGCCGTATGGTTTCCTAATCCAAGGAATCAGCGGGTCGATTCATGGATCGTTATTGAACGACCTTAATCGATTAACTCGTATCTTAGCAATACTTTTTATCGATCAAAGCCACTCGATATATCGATATATCGATTCAACAATCGAGCCGCAGCACACAGTGCTCAAAGATTGATTCACATTGGAGCCGCAAGGAGCACGGTAAAATCCTGTAGAGCCTAACCATGTCTATTTATTGATTCATTGAATTTTCGTTGTTTCTCAAGGGATTCAATTGATTGCCTCAGGAATTTTTACCGTCGAATCAACTGAACAAATTGCGCTTAGAATTATAAGACGGTTATAAGAGTTTACTTTCATGAGGGCTGAGTGTTATTAATTTCCTTTCACTTTTTTGTTGGCCTTCGACAAAATCCAGAAACTCCGATGAGTAAATGCAAATGGTTCATTGTAGGCGGTTGTAGGCGCTATTACGATGTATTTAATAGATCGTAATTTTAATAGGTCTTTTTATGATCCATTGGGAGAGGTGACCCTGTTCTGTATCAGCATTTATTTTGATTTTTCGGACATCTGAAAGTACGGGGTCGCAAAATTTTACTTTTAATATGTCATTTTGTTTCCTTCGAATTTTCGCTTTCCGTTTCGAAATGGTTGCGACCGAAATTAATATTTAAAAATATATTAAATTATAAAATATGTTTTCGTGAAAACGTTGCGTCTAAGATTCTGCTAATGTAACAGTAACATAGATGATAGGTTGATGTGACAGAAGAAATCAGAGCTTTTAGGTACATCAATTTGCACATTTATTAAAATCAATTTTATAAATATGTACATAATTTTAATTACAGTTTTAATTCATAAGAAAGAAAAAAAGGTGGGCGTTGGTCCTTATACATAAGTAAAATAGGTACATCAATCACTGAATATCCGAGTTTTTCAGGCAATTTGCCGTATAATATGATCAGTTGGGAAAACTTAATACCACAGTCCAGTTGAGGATTAAATTGTGCAGATAACAAATCATTTTCCGCTTTTTTCATTCTAATTCACTTTGCATAGAACAGTTTGAGTGAGTTTCCAAACCGTTTGACAAACTGATAAGTTGATAAAGGAACCATATAATTATTGGAAAGGAGAAAATGAGGGTTTTGAGAATCGAATACAAGAATAAGATGGGTTTTTGTTTCTTAATTTAATGTAATATTGCACGAATTCCGACTCGGTTGTTTAAATTAATATAAATTATCATTTTTGAGAAGTGAAAAATCAAAAGAGAAAACGAGTATGTATCGTGATCTCTCTGTTTACGAGTTATTTTGAAATTTTTCTAATATTATGAAGGTCATAAACACAATATCACTAATCATATAACCGCACTTTACTCTCACTGATAAAAAGATCGGGCATATGGTCCGAAGTAGTCCGAACGTTCGTCGCCCCATAACACTTCAACTATTTAGTTACAAAAGCCGAACTTTCGGTTTGTGCAACCGAACTTTGGCGGTAAAGTGAATGGATGAACGAAATTTGGTCATATGAACCGAAATTTCAGTTTGACAAACCAAATAGTTAGGGCGATGCGAAACAGCGAAGTTCGGTTCATATGACCGAAATTTGCCTTAATGAGGATCAGAGATTCACTTGATTGAAAACAAAAAAATAGACGATGGATGTCGCTTGAATTTGTACTCACAACTTAGTTCCAATATTAAAAAAAGAAGCGTTATAAATGAGGCTTTCAAGGTTTGTCGGGGCAAGTTTTCAAGGAAGCAATAGCACAGACTAGATTTTCAAATACAATAAGTTGAATGTCATATTCATTCATTTTTAGTACAAGTTAGTTGAGATTTTCTTTTGTAACGTGTAATCGTAAGTTTTCAATGACAGTGATTATTTTTTTTCTTCTTTTCCTTTGAAAATTTCTCCGCCTTGATGAGATCGATGACGCGAATACAACTCATCTAAGTTCTGTAATCATTCATAAGAGATGATTAGTGATCAATAAATTATGGCGGTTGTACTTCGTTTAAGTCCAAAATGCTTAGGTATAGTAAGATTTTTGGTACAATTCTTCGTTGGATCTAATAAAAAATTATTGGACCAGTCTAAAATTGAACGAACTTAGGGAATAAACTGTCATAAAAAAGGAAGCCTTTATTCAGGAACATTTCTTTTTTGTTTCAATAAATAAGAAATTAGAATTGACGAGTATACGACGTGAAGAATAAGAAAAAAAGTAAATTTGAAAAAGGATGACGTTTGAACGAATAATTTTTCAATTACGTCACATTCCAAGACCCAAATTACGTTCACCCTTGTAGGGAATGGCATAAAAATTTAAAATGAAATATGACTGCATCGCTTGCATAATACTGAAATAATAATTTTACACTGGATTCAACTGGCCGCCTTAAGCACAGACGAAATTTCTTTACATAAATTTGCAAACAAAATAAAGAAACCTTTCTTGATAGCTCTTCACACATTTGAGGGAGCAAATTTACCGACATAAAACACTTTTACAAAGTTTAAATCGATCCACAATTAATTTACATTACTTACATTTTATTTTAGAAAATTTACCGCTCTAAACAGAGCTATATACATTTTTACATTTTGTTACAATTTGCTAAATATAATACAACAAATAATAGAACTTATGTTACATAATTTATTTACACTTGGTAATGTGAATTGTGTTTCAGATTTTTGAAGAATTACATGAAAAGATGTGTTGATTGAAATCGTTTGACGATTCCTATAGCGAAGCCGGAATTAAATTATTAAAAAAAAAGAAAGAAAAAAGCGTTAATAAACGTAGACTGTGCATTCACAGACATATTTTGTTCATGAATGTGATTCTAATAAGGAATCTGAGATCAAAACTCTATGAATTACTGATTAAGAAATTAAACATTTTTATAATAAATTCCAGTTAAAATGTAACGAACAATTTTTTCATTACAAATTTTAGATAATTTTTTAAAACCATCAGAGCTCTAAAAATATTTACCTACCATTGGAATACTTTCATGATTTTCGTATCCCTTTTTTTACATTGATCAATTTGAGGGTACACAACATGTGTCAAAATAAAACCAAAACTACTCATTTTAGCCTGTTTTATATTTTGGAGATCAAATTGTGACAAAACCCCACCGTCAATATTCACCTTGACCATGTATTTTGGCTTTTTTACTCTTTCCAGCTCAAGATTATAAAATCTTGTGTGGTTTTGGAGAGTTTTGAAAACATTTGAGGAACACTTCTGCCTTTTTGGTATAACCTAGCTACATACAGAGGATCGGAAAATATGATTGTAAATTTCCTAGGAGGTCATTAAAATTATTAAAAGTCAATCTTTTTTTGACATCTACTAATTGTTTTTTTTTTTTAAAAAAAAAAAATTCTCTCACTTTTGATACGCAGAAAAGTTGTTATGAAAAAATCTGCTCATGTGTTTTAATAATGTAAGTAATGCTGATTTGAAAATAATTGATTATGCGTGATCGTAACAGTAATATTATGGAAGTTGTGTAGCCTGTTACAAGTAGTGGGATAAAAACAGCTTGAAATGCCTCCTCTTGAAAAAGATCTACTTCAAAGAGAACAAAAACTAGTTCACATACTCGTGTCTCTTAGTCAAAAGAAACACTCGGAGGGAATATCAAGTACCGAATACAGATATGTTTGGTATCGTATAAAACTTCAATAAATTTTATTGCGTTCTTACAAATATCTAAACTCCACACTATCTAAAAGAATAAGAAAAGAACCCCAAGGCAAGAGAATTTAGCGGCAACTCTCCAAGAAGAAAAATGAATCACTCTTGTTTCTGAGGTAAAACAATTACATATTGTAATACTTAGCAGCCAGGTATTAAAATGTTAAATGAAAAATAGTGGTGATTCATAAATGAATCCTGACTTCATCCTCCCCTATCCATCCATTTACCACTAATGAGAAAAAATAAACGTTTAATTGTGCCACATGGCAGGTGAGCTAGTATGTTTAGGCGTTTCTGCACCAGAACTCTAAATTTGATCAGATATCCATACTTTGGCGATTAAACTAAGAAGAACAAACCCCTTAAATACATTTACGAATATCACCAAGTAATAATAAATTCCCTACTAATAAAATTTAAACTATGATATCACACTTTGATTAAATAATACAATCATATAATTCTCCTATTATGATTTTCGGAGGGCTTCATCAAACCATCTACCTACTACCAACCACAAACAGCTCTTTGTAAACGCATTTAAACGAGAATGATGCATCTACAATGTGAGTTATGCTTGGTTTCCGCCATCGTTATCGAACAATGAATTTGGAGCATAACGTATTCAAATTGTGCGTTATCATCAGGTCATCCCCTCAAAATTCCTCAATAACAGCTAGAGGCTCGACCACACCATAACGAGCGGACATTCGGACACACTTTTTTAGGCTTCTAAGGACAAACTCCTAAAATCAGTTTATCAAGTGTATTCAGATCTCCAACTTGCCTGAAACAGACAAAAAAACATTGATTATTAGAGAGAGATGGAAGGGGGAGAGAAAGAGAAAAAAATGCAATCGCAAATCAAACAAAATAAGTACTTTGTATCAGAAATATTCACTTAGAAACCCATAGGACTTCACGAAAAAAGTTAAGCTCAAGAACACCAAACTGCACAGTTAAATTCACTGTCTTTAGCTGACCGACACTACTCTCTATGGCAACCAGTCATTTGGATGGTTCTGGATGAATATCCGTTTAGCATTCCTAAAGACTTCTAAATACTAAACTGAAATAATACCTTTACTATACTATGAAATTTAATTTAAATAATAAATAAATTATTATGTTCTGCAAATTTGATGGAAAATTAACCAACTCTACGCTTTCTGGTTAAAAACAGAGCCTCAAAAGACATTTTTTCAGTCTTATTTTTGGAGGCTTCTATTATCCGACACCCCCGACCGCCACATCATGTCGGATATTCGAGAGTCCACTGTGATTTATCCGTCAAAACTTGGTAACGAAAATTTGTTTTATGGCATTCTCCCTTGTAACGGCGCCCAGTGGATCGAGTCAATCAGAGTGGTTGGAATTAGCAACTAAAAATGCAAATTTTGGTGTTTAATTCATCACATTTTAAATTTCAGGGGGTGTTTCAAAGAGAAAATTTCACGAGGAAACCAATGGAGCCACTTTTAAAACCTCAAAGTTTTGTATGAATGTAGTTATGAGCTTTTAAAGTTTTGTCCGACTTCCCCCATTGACTCGATCCATTGTGCGGCGTGATGTGCACGCGTTAATAGGAATCACGCACGGTGAGATTCCGTGGGACGCTCAAAGCTCTCGCGTTTGAGGATTGGCTGAAAGTTGTGCGTGAGTGTGTGTTGGTTTGGTGCTTACCATTCCATTGGAAGTGGAGGCGAGGCCGAGGCCGGTGAGATGGTGGTGGTGGTGGTGGTGCATTCCGGGGGGCGGGGCGGGGGGCCCGGGGGCGACGAAGCCCTGGTGGTGACCCTGGTACATGTAGTGGGACATGGGGTGACTGTGGAGGGAAGGGCTCAGGTGATGGTGTTGACTAAATCCGCCGCCGAAGCCGCCCTTCCCGCCCGCCCCGCCCATCCCGCCCATTCCACCCATTCCGCCCATCCCGCTCGGGTCCAGCGGCTTGATCATATCCGACATGACCCCGCTCAGCGCCAGACATCCAGTGCTCCCGCTCCCTTTCTTCTTCTTCGACTTGGATGACAATTTCCTATTCCTAGTTTGGATCCCTTCCTTCTTCATCGTTAGAGGCCGGTTCACCTGCAACACAAAAATTCATTCACATCAGCCATTTTTCATCAAACAATTGCATATTCCTTCCCTACAAGAAAATTGTAGAAACAAGTGTATTGATATATAGATACTAGGGGGCTACGCCCCCTGGCCGCTACGCGGCCCAACCCCCTGAAGGCGCTCCGCGCCATCAATGGGCCACTTCGCGGCCCTATTTTTACCCTCCTTTCAGTGTTAGTTTTATTTTTCCCCTAAAAAATTACGATATGAGATATACTTTAATTTTAAACTTTAAACTTAAAATTACATTAAGATTAAAAGGACGCGTTTTGGAATGACTGCGTGATGAAATATTGCAGTAAAACAATGAACAATGATAGTCAGGTAACAATTAAGATTTCATGAGTCGGAGATCGAACCCACATCGAGGTCTAATGGACGCATTCGACGTCTTAGACGACTCGGCCACCGCTCGACCTGATATCATTGGCGCGAATCTTGTGTAGATAAGTGTAGAGCTGATGCGCAGGCTACACAGCTACTGCGCAACCTCCTCGACCACTGCGCATCCTCCCGCGCATAGCGGTAGCAGTACCGGAGCATTCTGTAAACTCACTCACTTTTATAACGTGATTTTAAAAAAACCTGGGTCCTTTTTCCAAAATCTGATTACAGCGGGCCCATCTAGAGCCTATTACCTCTCGATTTACGCAAAAATCATGGAAATCGGCTCGGTAGAACGCTCAAACGAACTATGACAAAAAGTATAAATTTACATTGTTTAAATGGGAGAATTCGCAACTTTACGACGTAATATAAATAATCCTGGACCATATTTTGAAAATCTGAAAAGAGTTGGCTTATCTAGAGACAATTGCCCGTCGATAGCCGCAAAAATCATGAAAATCGGCCCGGTAGAACGCTGGAACTAAGCGTTACCAGTTTCGCAAAATTAGGAGGTCTTGGAGCTTATAGTATAGATAGGTTCATGGCTGTTTTGAAAACGCCTTCAAATGCGGCGTGATACCTCACGCATTCCGGAGAGTTCAAATATATGTAGTTGTATCATTGCGCCGTAAGAATGTGACGGAAGATTTAAATGGAAATAGCCTTAATGCACGCTGGGCGTGTCGATTTCTTTTGACATTTTTGCAGTGGTGAATGCATAGCTGAAGTGCGCTCCAGCTAGAATTGTATTTAGCGAATGGGTAGTTTTTCAACGAGGATTAAAAATAAACGAGTGGTACGGAATATAACAAAAGAATATGAACTGTGCAAAACGATAATCCGAGTATCGGAACTTGGCTGTTTTGAAAAAGCCTTCAAATGTGGCGTGATAACTCACACATTCCGGAGAGTTCAGTTGTATCATTGCGCCTAAGAAATGCGACGGCTGATTACAATTGAAATATCCTTCTTGCACGCTGCCCTGGTAAAAATGGCAAGTGTTAATTCCTTGTGATTGTGATAATTACTTGTGATTGAAAACTCACAGTAGCCCTCCCTGGTCGTCAAATAGTGAATTAACATACCTGCCGGGGATAGGTAATTAACTTTTTTGCCTCTACAGTATTTTTGGGAGTTTCCACTCCGCTTACGTCGGAGACACTTAGGACAGTGCCACTCACATCAGAGGCACTTGCCTTTGGAACAGACCTAACACTGACGTAGCAGATCAGCGCCCGGCAGCACTGACATCAGTGTTTAGGTCTGTTCCAAAGGCAAGTGCTACTGATCTGAGCCCCTGCCATTTTTACCAGGGTGGCCTTTTCGATTTCCGTTAACATTTTTGCAGTCACGAATGCGCTTAAGTGCGCTTCAGTTAGAATTGTATTTACAAATGGGTGGTTTTTCTACGAGGATTAAAAATAATCGAGTGGTACTGAATTTAACCAAAGAATATGAACTATGCAAAACGATAATCCGGGTATCGGAACTTGGCGGTTTTAAAAACGCCTTCAAATGCGGCGTGATACCTCACACATTCCGGAGCGTTCAAATAGTTGTATCATTGCCCCTTAGAAATGTGACGGAAGATTACAATTGAAATAGCCTTCATGCACGCTGGCCTTTTCGATTTCCGTTGACATTTTTGCAGTCATGAATGCGCTTAAGTGCGCTTCAGCTAGAATTGTATTTAGCAAATGGGTGGTTTTTGTAGGAGGATTATAATGAAACAAGTGGTTAGAAATGGAAACAAAATAATATGAACTATGCAATATTTGAAAGAAGTAGAACAAGTTTTTCGGTATGAATTCTGTAACTTTGCAAACTGATACAGTGAAAGCTCGCTAAGTCGAATGGTGTAGGGGCCGAAAAATAATTCAACTTAAGCGGTAATTCGTCTTAACCAATTCTCCTCTTAACACATGAACTTGTCTAGAAACCGAAAAACAATTCAACTTAAGCGGCATTTCGTCTTAACTGTAGTTCGACTTAGCGAGGTTTTACTGTATACGTTTTTTTTACACTTTCGTTATCGATTTGATTCCGTGCGTCTGTAAAATGAATATCTATTGTGAAATATAAATGGATCATACTCTAAACGCTGTAAGAAGGAGTAAAATAAAATTACAAGAAGGTTTTGTTCATTTATTTTTTTAATTCTTTTTGACATATCTGTACAGGTTGGTTTGCTTCCAATTTATTTTTCTTTCATCATCATATTTTTAATAACACAAACGTAATATTTTCCATTCCTTTGCTTTCATAGATAATTGATTGACTTTTAAACCTACTGGTTAGAATGATTGGATTATCATCTTTAATCGAGGGATCTGGAAGCCAAACTCACAATCAATTCATACAAAAATAGTTTTGATCTAGAAAAAATGTTGGTCGCTGAAAATAATTTCGAGATTACCCTCGGATCCTATGAACTTGATTGCGCTGAATCCATTGGGCATGGTCCCGACTCTCGGCGAGGCTCCCTGAGCCGAGAAACAGTCAAAAACTGGTCAAAAACGAGCATTTCTAACCACTTTTTGACTTTTTCTCTGGAGCGTTTTCAGCGGATAGCTCTAAGGGAGGGACTCGCGGAGCTTTCCCGACTGGACAATCGCACTTAGCGGGTCAATTTCAAGCGAGCGTACTTGGTTTCGGCCCGATCGGCGAATTTTTGATTTTGACGCTATTTCGTCCATGTAACCCCTGTCGATTTTTCTCGATTTGGGACTGAAAAAAAAATTTCAAGATTTCAGTCGCATCCTATGTAGTTTAATGCGTAGAATCGATTCCACACAGTCTTGACTCTCTGCGAGGCTTCTTGAGCCAAAAAACAGTCAAAAGCTGGTCGAAAAGGAGCTTTTCTGACCACTTTTTGATTCTTTCTCTAGAGCAATTCTAAGCGGATAACTCGAAGCGAGGGATTTGCGGAGCTTTTCCGACTGGAGAATCGCACTTAGCGGGTCAATTTCAAGCGAGCGTACTTGGTTTCGGCCCGATCGGCGAATTTTTGATTTTGACGCTAAAAATTTAGTCCATGGTACCATGGAGTGAAATTTCGGGGTCAAAATCGAAAGTCCTCCGATCGGGCTGAAACCGGGCAAGTTCCCTTGGAAATGACCCGCTGAGTCCGATTTTCTGGTCTAAAAAACTCTGAGAGTCCGCTGGTCCGCTGGATCGGCGAAAAACGCGCGGTCGGTGAACTTTCGCAAAAAGGTCAAAAACACTCGAGTTTTTGACCGTTTCGCGGCTAAGAAAGCTCCGCCGAGCCTCGGGACCAATGGGAATCGATTCTACGCCTCCAACTACGTAAGGTCCGACACTCAGCTTGAAATTTTTTTTCTCCTCCAAAATCGAGAAAAATCGACAGGGGTACCATGGAGTGAAATTTCGGGGTCAAATCGAAAGTTCTCCGATCGGGCTGAAACCGGGCAAGTCCCCTTGGAAATGACCCGCTGAGTCCGATTTTCTGGTCTAAAAAGCTCTGCGAGTCCGCTGGTCCGCTGGATCGGCGAAAAACGCGCGGTCGGTGAACTTTCGCAAAACGGTCAAAACCCCTCCAACTACGTAAGATCCGACACTCAGCTCGAAATTTTTTTTCTCCTCCAAAATCGAGAAAAATCGACAGGGGTACCCCTGTAAATTTTTCTCGGTTTGGGACTTAGAAAAAAATTTCGAGATTTCAGTCGCATCCTACGCAGTTTGAGGCGGAGAATCGATTCCGCACGGTCTTGACTCTCGGCGAGGCTTCCTGAGTCGAGAAACAGTCAAAAGCTTGTCAAAAAGGAGCTTTTCTGACCACTTCCTCAAAGCGTTTTCAGCGGATAGCTCGAAGCGAGGGACTCGCGGAGCTTTTCCGACTCGAAAATCGAACTCAGCGGGTCAATTCCAACCGAGCTCAGATCCAAAGGAGTCAACGTCACGAGATAATTGATAGGCTTGGAGGACATGGCGCACATGGTGCACAAGTGCAGTTTCTGCTATTTCGAGAAATACGTGTTTGAAGTTTCGAAATTATACATGGATCCTTATGGCGGAATAAAAGTTCAAACTGCCATTTTAAATGCTTAAAGATTGGAATTTGGGAGCGAATTTTTTACAGAATATGCATCAAGACTAGTTTTACTTGAAATTAAAACTATCTCAATTTTTTTAAAATCTGCCTGTATGCGCCTTGTTATTTCTGAAATATTTATCAGTGTATAAGTCGCAGGGAGTCAGCAATCGCCGGCAATTTGCAAGCTCCGTACTTGTCAATTCGTCAAATTGTAATTACAATAACATCGATACAGTAAAGATTTCTTCACGCCTTCAAATCCAGCGATACTCTCCGCTTTGCCAAGGAGTTAGTTTAGTTGCTTAACCGAACCTAACTCAGATTATTGATGGCATTTCACGAACTCGCGAGTGTGCTAGCTGGCACCATGTATCCAGAAGAAGGGGCTAACGTATGTTTGAATTCAAAGCATAATAATCCCTAGGTATACTTCCAATCTCGTTTTTTTACTTTAAAACGATTGAATTTGTTGATTAAACTCGAAAAGATTGCAATTTGCCGGCAATTGCTAATTGCCTGCAACATATATACCTGAAAATTTTTGAGAAGAAATTAATGAGAAAAAAAATGACTGACTGAACAATCATAATCACTGCCTGTGGAAATGTTAATTAAACGATACTGAAGCACTTTATAGATGGTGAAAGTGCAGAAGTGCGAATCTCGGAAAACACGATTTTCCAGGAGAGTAAAAAAACTGTCTGCATTCCTCTTTATTGTCGGTAGAAGGTATTAACCTTCTACCCTTCTTATTAATAATTCTTGAGGATGGCAAGAATAAGATGTTTTTTCAAACTCCATCAGCAGTTTCAATAATTTCTCGAACTGTTAGAAAATACGGCAGAAATGCCGAGATTTGCGTTTTTGGCCCTAAGAATCGACCCTTCATCAGTAGATTCGCATTTTTGCACTTAGTGTTTTAAACTTGTTGGTGGATTTGGATCATTTATAGACGGAAAAAAGGGTTTCACACTTAAATTTCCTTATCAGATATGATTTAGTTGGTCATCGATGCTCCATTAATCCATGCTTTAAGCTTTCCTAATGGACCAGTGGACAAAGTACTTTTTCTTCAATTATGATTATTCACAGTTAATCAAAGAAAACTCATTTTATCCGTGCGAAACTATTTAAATTCACGTCCGCTTTTGAGTGAGTTGCGACTCTTTCAGTTTCACTTCAGAATACGATGACCGAACCAAGGGACTTAAAATACACAATCTGATCCAGCCGCCTGCGCTCTCTTCATTTAAAAAGGACGTAGATACCAAAAACAATCTTAATATTATTTCAAAATAATATTCCTCGGCATATTCCCAATATGCAACTCGATTTAAACACCCAAAATTATGAACTTTTTGGTCAACATCATTGTACAAGGCCACTAATAATGGATACAGAAGAGCGCCTTCAAATCAATCCGTAAACTTAATGTAAAATTCTGATACCACTATTCGTGCGTCACGGCAGTCATTTTGCATACCCGGCCATTTGAAGGCGTCTCGTTGACTTCAGGTAAACTGGTCAAAAACGAGTGTTTCTGGCCACTTTTTGAGTTTTTCTCTGGATCTTCTTCCGCGGATAGCTCGAAGCGAGGGACTAGCGGAGCTTTTCCGACTGGAAAATCGCACTCAGCGGGTCATTTCCAAGCGGAACTTTCGATTTTGACCATAAAAATTTAGTCCAAGTAATCCTTGTCGATTTTCCTCAATTTTGGACTGAGAAAAAAGTTCGAGATATCAGTCGCATCCTACGTAGTTGGTGACCTCTGAGGACAGTCGATTCTGGTAAACGTTTGGTTATGTTGTTCTGGTAGTCTATTGCAACATGTTTTTGCACTAAGACCTTCTACACATTAATTTTCCCAGAAACACACTAGATTGACTGGACTAAAATTGCTAATTCAGTTTTTTCTTGTTCATGAGATATCATGTTATGAAATCTCAACTCTCAGGCTTTGTAGGCAATTCGAATGTTAACATTTTCAGATACCTACCTAGGGGAAACATTTTGAAGGGACAAGCCTTGGGCCTTGGAATATGGCAAGGAAAATATGAAGTTAGAGTAATGAGGGTCTATAATGCTCAAACAATGAAAATGCTGGAAAAAACTTTACAAGTATTTTATTTTATTTTTTTATGAAAATCAGAAAATCAGCATGTTTCGAAATATTGAATAAAAATAGATCTAGGAAAACTGATCCTAAATTCAGTACATGAATTATCATAAGCATGAAAAACATTCACATAACTGATAACTATAATTTATTACCTTACAAAACCGAAAAATGAAAACGAGAGAAAAACGAAAAGTGATTAAAAATTAATAAAATTTTATTTTCAGCACCAACAATAACAATTACAGGAGAGGGGAAAAATGATACAAAAAAGGAAAAGGGGGAGATAATGATATCAAGCGATCATTGATGAGTAATAAATTTTAACAAAAATAAAGCGGTCCCTAGATACATTTACAATATGATTAATTATACTAGCAACGTGCAAAAAATAGGTGGGAGGCTCAAGTCAGTATTCCTTCCATTCGACATCGTAACTTGTACTAGGCAATTAATGACACTCGCAGATTTCTTTTTTTTGGAACCTGTAATTCCGTTAATTTTATTATTTTGTTGGACATGTTTGAAGCTCTGTTCTCATGAACTGACGTAACAACCATTGAGGGGGGGGGGGAGTAACTTTCCCTACTGTACTTCCATGGTTGCTAGAAAATTTTAGTTTACGAACAATAGTATTTTCATAGTTGACTGTCTAATTTCAAGTTAAAGTTCACCAACAATGAAAATCACCACGCGTATTTGCACTTACTTGTGCTAAAACGAACTATGTTGTTTGCTAACGCCATGCATGCAGTTCTTCTTTGCATAAATACGTCTATTTTTCCTATTGAGTGACTAATAAGTTATGTTAGAAACAACTGATTGGTGAAAAAATGTAAAATAAGTCCTCAGTAATTATTTACTCTTATGTCTACAGGCGTTGAAAGAGAGAGAGAGAGGAAAAAAACCACTGAGGAAGTGACATTTTTTTGACACTAAAGGAGTGGGTAGTGTTGAACCATTCTTCAGTCATAGAGATACACAAACATAATCTTTGCCATATTGTTAAAATCTGGCAACACCTCGAATCAATTGCGACTGAGAAATTTAAAGGCTTCCTGATGACAATTTTTTTTGTGAAAATAAATTTAATGGGCTTATAAAAATTTAATAGCACTGCAGAACTTACATCCTTTTTTTTCAAAAGAATGGCTCCATTGGAGTTTACTAAATATTCCTTAACTCATTGTCAGTAAGAAAATGGTAAAAGAATAGCAATGTCAACAATTTCTGAAATTCAGAATTATGGTTTTAGAATAGCTTGTGAAACGATAGAAAAAGAACATTCACTTTGCAAGTAAATACAAAGGTTAAATTCAATGTGTTCATAACTAATTGGACTTCATTTTACCATTAGCAACTACAATTCCTGGCTCATCCGCAAAAATACTTATGTACCTTGAGAAACTATTGACACATGGGTTGTTTCTAAACTGAGCCAGAAATTACAGTTCTGAATTGCAAAATGTATAGTCCAAATACAGCAACGTAATTTTGCAAAGAATAGATCAGTGATTGGAATGCTGAGAAGATACATGCAACATCCTGAGAGTATGATTGTCATTTTTCTAGCTTAAGATGCCAAGAAACAAACAGGGAATCAGAATTATCGCACTGCCTTTAAAATAGTGTCACTTTAACTGACGGTCATGACGGAAATAAACAATTTTTTCAGATTTTGAGTACAGCACTAGCTGTCTGATATGATATAAAGTCTGCCCATGAGAACAGATCACAAAAAATATTAGAGGAATGAACATGAGTATCCGTATTTATTTAGAGGAGAGAATGATTTGGTAGCTGGATTTAGGCCTAAATCTTGGTTTCATCGAAAATTCTTGCCTCTGAAACTATTACAAGATACAGCTCTTCGTATATGGGCGGAAAGCTACTGCCTGGCGCTTATACAATCTCAACAGTAAAAGATAAGAGGGGTCAAGTTCCTTGATTAAAACTGGCAACTACAGCATAATTTGCAAGAGTCCAAATTGATTGAAGAGGGGGTAAAAATAATGAACACCTTCTCATGGATACCTAGATGAAAAGATAAATTAGATGGTTTCTAATAATTAATTTCTGATACTATTAATTTGAGTTAAGATTTTTTCAAGTTTTCCAGATTTTTCTTGAGATACGATAAAGCTTGTAATTAGGTGCCAGGCGATTAAACGATTTAATAATTTTGGCAGGGAGTTTGTAGGAGTCAGGTCCGCTGAAACAATTATCTGAAGAAGGTGCATCATTATCTCTTACATCAAGTCTTATTTCCTGAGGCTTTCTAACGCAAACAGCTAAATGGACCGACTTTAACAGAGGGGACAAGCATTAGGTGGAAATTTTGGGGGAAAAATGAGTTGGGAATAGTTTAGACTTTAACTATTTGTCGATTATATCCTGTTGAAAATGCAAAGTCGGAAAAAAAAATATTTTGCATGAGAAAAAAATTTGTTAAACTCTGTCCTGAACATTGAGACTTATGAGACTATAAAATTTCACACCTCTTTTTTTCATTTAAACTTAATGCATTCCTGTCAAACTCACAGTCCAAGCGTTGGGAAAAATTTTTGCTTGTTGGCCATGAAATAAACATGGATAACGCATGATCATATGCCAATATTCGGTAAGTAACTCTAATTGGAACTATCGTATGCCTCCAATAAAATTTGCACAGAGGAAAAAATTCCGGAATCGGCTAAAGAGTAGTGAAAGCGGCACTTTATATATAGAAAGTGTGAAAAATGAGAGGAAATAGGACAAGTTTGAGACAAGTGTTAACAAATCGTCAGCAAGAGGATTTTATAGTTGTGATCGCTTTCTTTGGCCTTCCTATCTGAAATTGGTCCCATTTGTTTCCACAAAGGTGCATTTTGATTTTCAGGGTGTGAAACTAGCAGCCTGCTCTTTTCCTATGCATTTTGAACTATCCCTCTTTCTTTCAGCCGAACATAATGACAATAAAAAAGGGGGGGGTGGGGATTGCCAACATTTGAGAACAAGAAAATTTTTTTACACTTCAAGAGAGGCAAAAATTGTTCAATAATTCTCTGAGCGGCCGAGAGTCGCCCTTTCGTGAGCATGTGGGTAAGGCTTCAAAGTTGACGACTATTTCTTACAATGGATACACAACGGATGGGCCCCTCAAGGGAGGAGAATCTGGAACATTGGTTGGTTCACTTGTATTCGTTAAAAATCGGGGTAAGCTATACCATTAGGATTTTTCTAAAGCACAAAATACTCTACATAAAATTAAAATAATAAAAGTAAATCTATAAACGACTAGATGCGAATTTGCAAATGACAGGTAAGTATAAAAAAAGAGATAACAGGTAAATTGCTAGAATTAGTTTCATAGTTTATGTCTTTTTATTTGATGAGTAAAAATGATGGAGCCTTTAAAATAAAGATGAGTTGGATCTAGGTTCCGAATTGTACTTATATAATAAGAGGATCTGAGAACGCATTGGAAATTTGCAATGTAGAAAACTATGATGAGTTGGTAAGTATTTACAAAGCCATGTTAAGTATGCAAAAGGGAGTTGAGAAATATGCATCAGTAAAAAAACAGTTAGAAAATATGTTGACACCACTATCGTTATTTTAGTCACAAGATTTTCAAAGTTGGATCTTTTTATGTCGGTACATACCTAGTTTATACTACAGTTACGTATTGTTTAGTTAGGAGAGCCAATAAAATGAAAACGTCACTAAAAGGTCGAAATACAGAGGCTCAAGAATAACACTTTCTCCAGTCAATGCAAGAAAACCACTTTTGGAAAGAAACAAGATTCTGAAGCACATATTACTTTGATAGGGGATCAAATTTTAAATATTTTAACAATACATAGCCCTAATAGCGCTCAAAATTTTCACAAGCTCAGCAGTTAATGGGGATAGAGACTTCTCCCGACCATTTGGAGCTTGAAAAAGAGAATGAGAAACTTGGTAAACAACTGAGTAAGAATGAGACTTGTTGATTTTTAGTAAATATTCTATCTTGACCGAGGATATGTTGTTTTCTTTAAAAAAGAGTGAGTTTAAACTCCTCTCCTCTCTACAATCTGCGGTTTGTTGTCCCCTACTCGAATGAATGTATCTCTACTACGTTGTTTCAGTATTTCTTACCGGCATTTTATTTTTTATGACATGACCTTCACATGAATTTTTCTAAAATTGTCAGCAATTTTTTCTTTACACTTGTGAGAGAAGTCACTGAAATTTTTAGAAAAATTTAAGCTACAGTTCTCCCAAGAAAGAGTAAATTTGTAAAAATACTGAATCAGCGCAGCCAAGATACATTCCTTCATATAAGAGACAGCGAGTTCGTTATCCTAACATTGCATGAATTATGAGATGTGCCTGCTTACTCACCTCAGAACGCAATGGAGAAGAGAATAAATTGAGAGATGATTTAGAAATTCAGGGGTCTTGGGCAAAGTGTTGGCTGAACTTGTAATTTTTAAAACACTTGGACAATAGTGTCTAATTAAGTTGTGACAAAAAGACCCGTCTTCTGTACTTGAGAAACAAATAACATTCATTGATATAATCTAATGATATCAAAGTCTCAATATTATCAAGATAGAGAAAACTAGAAATGTACGTTACAATTTTTCAACAGATCTATGAAATCATGATCTGAAATATTATGAAAATAGGATCTATGTTCTTTGATGTTTTCCATCATTAATTTGTATTATTCAAATTAAATTGGAGCCTGTCAAAGTTTCCTTTGTTATTAAGTTGCCACGCCAAGATATTTTTACAAAAATTTCAATGCACTATGTATTTTGCACCTCAAATAAAGTGAAATTATTATTCTGAGAAAAAATATTGTAATGAGGAAATAATATTAACAGCTCAAAGTACAGAGGTAGAGCTTCAAAACATCATCATCTAACAGTGAAATATTGTATAAATTATTTTTTATGATTCTTGAATCTTTCTAAAACCGAAGCAGAATCTTTGAGTGTCCAAAAAATATTCAACAATAAAATGGGAGAAAGTGTTTTTGCTCTTTGTCATGAGCTTTTGAAAAGAGGAGCGGCTAAAGTTATAGACTAGAACTTACAAGTATTAATCTTCAATGACTGTTCATTGCCTTAAATCAGCTTTTTGAATTAGGCTAAACGCTTTTATACAGACGGCCTTTTTTAATCCAGACTTGTGTCACGGTTCATGCAGTCAAAACGAAGCAAAATTTTTGGGAGTTTTGCCCTTTTTTCAAAGAGCTGCCAACTGAAAATACAATGAATTTTGCACAATCTTTGACAAGTTTAATACGGAATTTTATTGCCAGAGATAAATTAAAAATTCTCACGGCATTTTCCATGAATCAAGTGGGTACCTCCAAGTACAGGAAAATCAGAGAAAAAAAGGAGAGAGTGATTCAGAGCTTTTTAAAGCTGCACGAACTATGCTTACAGATTTCCCAATTATCTAGTTATATTATGAGAGAGCAGTCTTTAAATTTTCAGAGGCTTCCGACCAATTATTCCTCAAACCCTGTGGCAAGTTGCAACATTGCAGTTGCAAGTTTACATACCATTAATTGATTCAATGTACCTAAGTAAACATTCATCTTGAAACTATGCATTGCTTTCCTTCTTTCTCTATTAAAAGCGTTACTGTTGAAATATTAAAGCGTCTTTAAAAAGTTCCATTTAAAGTAGCTTGATTTTTACAGGTGGTTACAGAGCCATATGTTCATATTGAATTCGACAGAAAATACGCATAACGGAAACCTCCAATCATTGATTTTTTTATTTAACTTTTTACACCCAGAGTAGAGGACAGTCTTGAACAGTCTGGATTAAAAGAGCTCTTCTGTGTACAAGAATTAAAAAATGGTATCAACACGCACTTGGATTTTGCGCGGAAATGTTCAGTAAAAATAAGGATAGCGATGGTTTCAAGTACAAATAATCACATAATACAAATTTATTAGAGACAGGTAAGGATAACTTATGAAGATGTAGAATGCTCACTGTACGAAATGCAAAAATGAGCTTTGTCAATTTCAGCCGAACGAAAACAATATTCACCACCAATCACTGAAACATTGAATAAACAGATTACTATTTACCGCACGGGAAAAAAAGAACTCAATAAAGACTACGCAAACAAAAGTTACAAACCAGCTACGTTACAGCGTTATACTAAGGATAGATTAACATACTCTACAGCATACTTCTAGCGATGAGGAGCTGGTGCAAAGTTTCGAGTCCCCCGCTAACGGCAGCTTGAACTTAGACAGAGTGGCCACAGATTATGAAAATATTTTTCCTTTCTCCCCGAGCTCAAAACCCTTAGACTAGTAATGTAATGCTTTTCTGATTATGTACACTTTTTATTTGTTCTTCTGAGTATAATGTGATACGAATTTCTGTCAACTCTGAGCTACCAAGTCTTAAAGCTGTAATATTATTTAATCAGAAACAAGACTGATAGGGCTCATACGGCAGGAAGGCTCTTGGTTCTGAAAAACTAAGAGATCATTGCACTTGGAATTTGAAAAGGGACAGTGGAAAAAGTGGATCCACGCAGTAACTAGGGAGCCTTACATAAAATCAACCGAAGGGTCAGTAGCAAAGAGGAGGTGGCGGGGAAGGTTCAAGAGGTCTTCTCAAAAATTCTGTGAATTGAATTTTTATTCTGCTTTCAAAGACAACTGATTGATTGATGAAAATAGATGAGCTTCAATCCTTCTGGTATATTCTTTCCCCCTAGACACATCCAATATCCAAGAAATTCAGAGTTCCAATGTACCGAATCTACAGGGCTAGCATTCCTTAGTAACGCAAAATCTAATTCATACATGTACACATGAAAAGTTGACATCATAAATTGTCTGGATTTCAAAACTTTCAGATTATAGCACTCTAAATGTCATGTCCTGCTATTATATTGAGATTAGTGGCCACCCTGGGTCTCTCTAACTACAGAGAAAGTCAGCAATTTATTGGTAGCCTTGGCTTAAGAAGCATATAGCTAAGCATTGAAAAGCATAAATTCAGGTAATAAATATTCGCTTTAAGCGCTTCAATATATGAGATACACAAATTTAAATTTTATCATGTACAAGGCCAAAAGCCTACTTATCTACTGCTAAACTTATTTCAGTCATTAAAAATAAGCGCCCTACGAATGAGGCAGTCTAACACTCAAGTGCAAGAGTTCCTACTGAAAGGACAGAAGGCGGCTTTTGATTCCCCATCAAGAATCCAGGAAAGAGACGGAGCGAGAGGGAGAAAAAGGGGGGGGGCGGCTTTTATTAAAATGGAAAGTTCCACTGGAAAATAATGTGAGCAGCTATAAATCAGATATTCCTACAGAAAAAGAGCTATCCCTTGAATAGGACTCAAAAATAATAGAGGCACATGCTCTCTTGTCAAAAGGACTTTTCTCATTCAATTATCTTGACTTAATGAAAATCAGCTTCCTCATAATCTGAGTCTACGAATGATATTTTAAGAGTTTTAAAAAATGAAGTAATTCAATGCAGGTTCATTCGCATCTTAACGTTCGTTCTACAAAAGACTAGTGGACATGGTACGAATTTAAGCATTCAGATGTATGTTACTTCCTCAAAATTTCAGGTCGAACATGATTTGTGCAACGAAAAAAACAAGTCCGAGATTGGCAAGAGTTTTAACAGCACTTTCACACAGCTATGAAGAATACAAACACTGTGACAATTGATGAAAAATACGATTTTTATAAAATTCAAAGGGTAACACTTCTTTTCGGACAATTTTCAAGAAAGCAAAAGGACAAAATGAGGTCATTTCCATCTACAAGCTCATGCTAATATTGAGAATAGCAGAGCATGCTTTCCTTCGAGGTGAAATCACCAGTCACTTTTGAGTCTGCTTTCCAGGAATTTTCTTACTTTTACAACTACATTACCTTCATTTGAAAAAATAGATAATGCAGTGCAGCGGTGGTGATAAGGCAGTATTTCTAAAAGAAAATACCTTCGATTGAACTTATTGAGCCTACTCCAAGGTTTCTATCTAACGAAACATTCTTTGCACAAGTACAATATCGGGTTGCAAGATGCGGAAAAAAAAGAATATAATCCAAAACGTTAAAAGGACCCTTATTTTCAAGCATTATCCAATTGAATTAGAACATCGTGTTTATAAAATTTCATTTAAAAAGATCTCTCTAAAACTCCATCATATTGTTGAAATGCATTCAATCTTGAAAAAACTTGTTTATACATTGTGCATGAAAAACAGCATGCAGAAAAATTAAAATTATCAGTTAGAGATCGATTCAAGTAAATTAAGAGGATGATCATAAAAATTTATGAGTGATTATGATGGAAAGAAATATTTTGAGATGCGATGAGATATGTGCAAACGCATTCGTCAATTTCAAACTTTATTCTAAAATGTTTTTTTAAATTTTGTAGAGTTACCAGATTGAAGATAAGGACCCTTTCTTGTTTTGGATCACTAAAGTGGATCCTGATATTGTTGACCATCCACAGGAGAAAGGACTTTATAGCAAAGAGGTAAAATTTTTCAATGAGGTAATATCTTTTAAATTAAGTCGAAAATTCAGATCTTGAGTTTCCATGATAAATTACTCTCTGGTTGTGTTCAGTTCCTTGCCACATGAGGGAATAGTGTTGCGTTAAGAAAGACAATTTTCAGCCCAAAACATAGCGAATTGAAAATTTCAGGGTGCCCAGCAAAAATTTCTTTCCCTTTTCTCTGACTTTCCTAGGTTTTCCTTGACTCCTGGATTTTCAATCTCTCTCACTTTCCCTGACTTTTCATTCTAAATCTAAAGAAACACAAAAATAAACACAGCTCGACAAAAAGTATGGGTAGGGACCAGTGGGGGCCCAAATTTCAAGAGAAAAATTCACAACCAACTAGAATGAAGCACTGAAAGAGCACCGAAAATATGCAATAAATAACTTGCTTGTGAGCAAGCGACTGTCCCAGTTACGCATTTAATCTCCCTCAACTTTCTTGACTTCACCCTGTCTTTCCTGGCTTTTCCCGTCACTAGATATCCTGCCTTCAGACAGCTTTCTCTCAAGACTGTGTTTTATTACTGCAAATTTCAGGAACATCCCACTTTCACTTTGATTCAATATTGTTACCTGCATTTTACGCTGAAAAAATCTATAGGTGCAACACCTTAAATTAGTTAAACCAACTCCTCAATTTTAGGTTTTTGGCCACTGCAGTCCTTTTTTCTGGGGACGGTCACAACTCAACCCCTAGTTTGACCAAAAAGCACAGACAACAGCTCGACGGAATACCTGACCAAAAATTCATGCTGATTAAAGGTTTTCGGAGAGGATTCATTGTAAGCACATGGTAGTTCATTTCCTGCAAACCATTTCCCAAACTACTTGACTAGGTGTACAGTAAAGACAAGGGGCTCTTCACAAAATGGCATTGAAGTAAATTTCCGAGAGGAATACAATAACCAGATTAAAAATAAAATATCAACTAAGTTCATACGCTTCTACATTCATGAGAAGAGCAGCTTCTAAACTAAGGCTCAAAAAGACATGGACTAAGGATAAAACGTTGTACATCAACAATAAAAAAAAATATATATAGTTGACCATCGGCCGACTAAAAAAACAAGGAGTCAGGAGGGATCACAGAGTCCGGGATTTTCCTACGCTATAGTGAAAATTGGTCAATAACTATTGCGCACTGTCTCTCCCTCATAGTGAGCCATGAGCAAAAAGCAAGGGATTACCAACGGGAGAAAAAAGGGAGCTTTAGCTAGAATTTCAAGGAATCAAGGCTTGCTATAGAGCTGCGTCGTGACAGGCCGAGAGAGGGAGGCCCACTAACCAATGATGTTGTCCCAAATAGTTTATACCAGCCGATGACTATGTTCGAGAGGTTCAGATCATCCAGCATGATTTGAGCCACGCCCATGAAGACTTTTTTCCCTTCGATACGACCGTAATCACCCCAGACAGTGACCTGTAGCAAAAATACGTAAGAGACTTATAGTTAATGATGTAAGCCAGACGCAATGTGAAAGTGGCATCCAAGTAGAAATAATTGTGATAAGTTGCAATGGACCAGTAGACAAGGAACAAACTTTCAGCATTCTGATACATGTTTTTTAACCAAAATTTCAAGCAAAATACGATTCATACAACAAAAATTACTGAAACTATCTCCTAATGTAGGTATTTAACGTTCTTTGATGTGTAAATTTAAACCTCCCGGTCATGAAAAAAACAAAAGTGTACCTGAAAAAAATCGTGCATTGAGTGTTACCGTAACAGACGCTGCTGGATGAAAATATGGAAACCTCAATCTCGGTGCTTTGGCTCAGCTGTTGCACGTAATTAACACTTTTAACAACACAGGGCGGGGAAGGAATATTGATCGATTAAGATGCCTGCCAAGACCTCTGTAGTGCGCGATTTGATTTAAGCAGACTAATATTTTTCTTGTGAGCGGGGAATTTGAAATTCCCTTGACTAATGTGAACTAAAAATGTTAATATCTTAGTTAGAGATTGATTTTAGTAATTCTTCTTTCGCGACTTGTGTTCTACAAGAAATTTTGATTGAGAAACATGTAACAAAATGCTTACACTCGTGCCTTATTAAAGGTCACTAAATTTAAATTATTAAAGTTCCTAGAGATTTTATTGCTATGACATGGTTATCAAATTCCATGTTAATTCTCACCTGAAGGATACATCCTTGGAAAGGCTCCCTGAATGTTAGTTGTTTCTGGTATAAAGGGTCGAAAATTAAAAGGCAATTTTGTAGGAAGGAAATCATTGTGGTTGAACAGCTATATTAACCATAGGGAAAAATAAAATTTTTGAAGGAATTATTGGAAATCACTCGAATTTAAAATCCTAAGGATTTTATTACTATAACACAGCGGTCAAATCCCATGTTAATTCTCACCTGAAGGATGCACCCTTGGAAAGGCTCCCTGAATGTTAGTTGTTGCTGGTACAAAGGGTCCAAAGTCCTCCTGGCTGAAGAAGTTTTGGCTTTGGCTAGACATTTCTTCCCACTCACAAGATAAACTTTGACATATGGAGCTGAAAACGTACATAAACCGTATTTTAAGAGAAAAATTTGTTTCACAGTAAAAAATTATAGAACCTCCCCAACTTTATGGCTAAAATTTTTGGATAGAAAAGACTGTCATGCTCACAGTTTGTTAATACTGAAATATTATATTATACCGAAGTATACCGAAAACAAATATTGACAGTTCCTAGGTTTTGATTTTTTCCCCTTGCTGGATAAGGCAGGATATTTTCTAGAAAAATAAAATCAGATGCCCACTTTCTGTTGATTAGGTTATTGAATAATTTTGTAACAGTGATGAATCAGTTGATTTTGCCTTGACTTTTCTCCACCTGGAATTCTTAAAGGTGCAAGATGAATGAATACAGAACTATCTCTATGTAACATCTAGATGACGGACCAAATGGCTTTCCATTATTGAGAAATTTTGATTATAATGAGTCGCAATAATCAACATTAGCGGTTCAAGGGACAGGACGATTCTTTCATTGCAGAGAAATTTCCATTATAATGAGTAATGCTATAAAGAGATACAACTGTGCTGGCTTAGTTAAAATTCCTTCAGAGACATCAACGTAGGGGTTACCAGTTCCTTCTCATTTCAGTAATACATAGGCTGTCCCAAAACAACTGAGAGTAAGTCTGTATTTCAGAAACAATAATAGATATTGAAACGCGGTTTGTGGGAGGTTGTAGCTCATATCCTAAGCTATCCAACGAGCCCAAGATTTGCTATTTTGGTCAAAATTTTGCTGAGTTACAGCAATTTTTTGGAGCCGTGTAAAATAGAACCCTACAGGATTTTTGAGTATTTTTTTCCTTGTCTGAACTGTTGTTCCGAGATCGCAACTTTGCGGATCACGTTGGCACTGGTCTAGATGCAAGTTCTAACATGTTTGCATGTGCTTTCATTCCATATCAGAGTTTTCTTCAACTTCCCAGCTCAGTGAAGCCAACATTGTCTAGCGTNAAAGGAGAGCAGTTTTTTTTTTCACAATTTCACTAGGTTCTACTGGAGAAACTGATTGAAGTTTGATGATTTGTAAAACATGGCCTTGCTAGCAACAGCTTATGAAATTTGTTTTTAAAAAAACTCTTACAAAACTGTTAAAATTTACAAAAGAAGAAAACACTTTTTGGAATTTTTTTCCCATAAAACTTTTTTCCCATTTAAAAACATAATTTTTTAAAACAATTCTTTAAGGTAAAATTCACGTAAAAAAGTGTTAAAAAGCCAGTGTATTATTTTTTAGAGTTTTTTTAAGCGTGCCAGTAGGGTTCGCTTCTTGAAATCACTCGGCTGTACCATAGTACAGCACACCAATAAACCAATGCTATTCAATGGGCGGTCCAAGTTTGTTATCCATTGGATCTGTTTTTCCGTGTTTGAGCTGTTATACTGTCAAACCCTCATGGTCATTCACTGAAAGACCAAATCGACTTCTCGGAGGAAACCCTTGAGAACATTTTCCCGTCAAAACCGTATTATTTCATTGGACAGAGACTTCGAAGAAGCTTTTCTACGCTCAAACGACTCAAATTTAGAAGCTTAAATCCTGCCGCAACTTTGTAGCCAATGAGTGTCTTTGATATAAGTCCTTGTTCGATCAAAATCGAGAGAATGTAAGGTAGCTCTTGAGAGGCCGCCGCGCCATTATCCCACATCAAATTTTCAGAATAAAAATAAAAGAATAATGAGCATTGTACGAGGTGGAAAATTGCACTGGAGGACCCATTACAGCTACAGAAGCCAAAATCAGAACTTCATTTTGAACGATTGATTGGTGGTCATGTAAAGGCAACTCAACAAATACCGAAGCAGGGTTTTGAGTCCCACTAGAGAAAATTTTTTTAGTGATTGTATTGAATGTTTAAGACCAAACATCAAAAAAATAATTGAAAATAATTAATACTAGATAAAAAATGTACGAACATTTTCTTGTGAGTTAATATGTTAATGAAAAAAACTGAAATATACTTCCTTCATACGATCAGCCACATGTTCATCCAAATTAGTAGTTTCTTTTCTCAATGAAGTTAATTAACATTCGACATTCATAATTAGTATGTATACCTAAATGTATGTAGCCCTGTATGTTTTCCTAAATTTAGCAAAAAGTACCAATTGATACTAATAGCAAAGACATGAAAATAGTAAGTCTCCAACATTTCAGTTGTTCGACACGCTTTTCCAATGTTTTAATGTCTTCTTGTAATACTCAAATTTGAGCTCTCGTAAATTTTACAAAAAAAAAAATCCTAAAAAGGGTTTTGTTCTTTATAAATTTTGAGTTTTATTGAGAGTTTTATTACTAAAATTTACAAGTTTTTTGAGAATTTTTTTCCATTTCTCACTGGGGGAAAGTAACAACGATCTCTTGCAAACACAGAGGGCAAACTAGTGAAAGAGAATAGTAACGCTACCTGGAAGAACTTTAGATCCAGGCTGCGCCTGAAGGCCTCTTGCTCGAATAACCTCAACTTCTAGGTATCCTTTTTGATAACACAAGCTGAGCTGAATGTCCCCTAAAGCAGGGGCACCGAGCACTTGTCTCCCGACAAGTTGTCCAGGACCCAGTCCATCGATAAAGTCGGACAGCTGACCTCCATCGCTACTCCGCAGTGAGGGGGCAAAACTGAAAGAAGAGGCGTAGTATTAGACCAAAGTTGAAAACAAAGCAAGAACCCTCACGCGAAAGAACTCAACATTGAGTTACTGGCAGCATTAAATTGATGAATATTTTAAAAACATATAGGTATGAAAACTGCCAAAATACAAAAAAGAGGTGTGATAGTTTTAAATTTCCGATTTAAAAAAGGGCGTTTTAGCAGAAGCAACGAGAAGTTTTCTCGGAAAATATAAAGCTGAAATTGTCTGATTAAAATTTCAAATTACTCCCTTTAAAAACTAAATAAATGTGAAAATTTTGCAAAGACAATACATTTGAATAAGTTTTGCGAATAATTTTTCTAAAACAAGTACTGAGGGTGCTACTGGAATTGGAAGCAAGAACTTGAAAATGAATGGCTTGGAATTAAAATGGTGGGTGCAGGAGGATCACTTCTTAGTTTTGATGTCCTCCCATCTATTTTAAGGTAAGTTAATGGTTGGCAAATAGTCAAATCAGGCATTTTGTCAAACACCCAGGAGAATATTCTTACTTAAATTGAAATTCTGATTCTTTTCCTGATTTTAGACAAAATAATTTGTTGTTCCTGGAAGAAATAATTCTCTGTAAAAATATGTAGAATACAGTATTATTCAAAATGATTTTTAGCTCCTGAAATAACGTTTATCTTGACAATATTTTTGAACTTTTTACATTTAAATATATGAAGAGGAAGAAACAACAGAAGTTTGTATATTCGATGTGTTATTTTTCCCTAAAATATCAAAAACTCGTAAGCTCTTTGCCATAAATTTACAAAATTTTGTAAATTGTCAAAATTTGACTATCTGCCTATGCATTTGATAAAATGTCTTATTTGACTAATAGCCTGCGATGTATGTATATTTTATTGTTAGGTTTACTGAGTATTTGACATGATGTCACATTAATGAATTCCAGAAAAAGCATTAGATGGTTTCCTCTATGAAATTTAAATTAGCAGCGAAGATTCTGAAACGCTGAGACCAAAAGGTGTCCTTTCAACACCCAGCGCCTCAATTTAAAAATAGCTTCACATTTTGTACCTTGGTTTTGTTTTTATTGACTGAGAGTCGTGATAAGTCAAAGTATAGGAATAGATTTTTCATTTTATTTTCTAATCCAAAATTCCTCAAAAATCAAACAGCTCTTCTTGAATGTAAGGCTAGGAACATTTTGAACAATGGGTCTGTTTCAAACTTTTGCTGGAGCAGCAAAAAGAGTTGCGCCTGAAGAGAGATAGCTTGGAAATCATATTGAACGTATTAGGAAAGTCTGAAATTCACTCAGAACATCCTGGTCAGCGTTAAAAACTTGCGCATTTTTAAGTTTCCTGCTTTAAAAAGTGTAATGTGTAAAAGTGTAAGGCAAAGACATAATTTGATAGAGATGAGTTACCCTGCTTTCAAACTCCCTGCAAAGCTGGAAATGGTCATCGTTATCTGATTTTTGATACCATTCCTCAAAGAAAAACAAGCAACAGAAGTGCTTCTACTTATTGAGCTTCATTTAAAAGCAAAAAAGTGAAGAGATAAGTTGCAAAGGTGATTTGATGTCGTTTGTTTTCACTGAAAAACTGCTATACTAGACGGCAGCAATTTTCACTTTTGGATGGAGCTATCAAAGTATGTCTCTGCTGTAGAATTCTATTTGAAGCAGATGATTCCCACCGAGTGTGTAATTAGGAGTGAATTACAGACTTTCCTGGTTTGCTCATCGTGATTTCTGAGTCACTGTCCATAGAAAACAAGTCTTCTTTTTACTCTAGCAATATTTTGCAACAGAATCATTGGCTTCAGAGATAGTTTGAAATGAGAGTCATAACTATTTTGAGAGTAAGACTCAAATACTAATTAGGAGGTAGAGAGATCACCGATATGACAGAGAATTGCACTCAACACTTGCTCAGCTCATATTTTTTAACGAATTGGATTGATTTCAAACTGGAAATTGAATGAATAATTGAGGACTTAAAAAACACCCAAAGCGAAAGTAAAAAACACCGAAAAATTACTTCAAAGGCACTTTTACATGAGAGGGTTCTGGAAAAGTATCAGTAATGTCTTTAAAAAAATATTTTTTAATAATCCCTTACACTAAAAAAACTAATTTTCTTGTTCATTTGTGACTATCCATGGAGAGAGACAGTTTAGTAATGAAACCTCGAATTTTTAACAGCGCTTGGAGGGGTGTTATACAAACATTTTGTCACAAAAAATTCTCAAAAATACCAAATTGAAGTTGCGACTTTTGTAATCAAAACCCAGTTTTAAGATGTAGCTCAGAGGTGTTGGATTAAAATTCAACTTTGCGCCTTTTATTGGTGAAAAATGTATAAATTACTTTGCAATAGAGAGGAGTTTTTCTACCAAAAAATCAAATTCCACTTTTTCACCCATCTTGCAAAAAATTGCGCTTCTTATAATTTGCGTTTGTGCACTGAGGTCTCCTCTTTCATGAACGGTCACTATTTGTGTTTGCTTGTTGCCTAAAGTGTGGTTGAAACTACCATTCTGTGTTAAAAAATCCTGCTTCTGGATATGTATCTGCGGGTACTTGGAAGTTGAGAGCTTGTGAATACGGTTATACGAGGAGGATAAAAACACATTCAATAAGCAGTTGAATAAATGGAAAATAGGGCATTTTGGATTTGATGACAAACTAATGGATACTACACTGTCGAAACAATGCATTATCACGTCGTCAAAATGCCGTCTCAAGTTCATAATGTCCTACCTACTCCTTCAATTAAAACGCGTACTGAAGGCGAATTGAAACGCCCGTACAAACGTAGCTAGTGAGTTGAGCAAGGTAAGTGTTAAACCCTCCATGTCTGCATGCAAAGCAGCTTGTGGTCAAATAACTTACTTCTAGACTGTGCTAAATCTATAAAATCATCAAAGATAGATACCAAATTGCCACAGAAGAATGTAGAGACAGTTATCAAGAATCTATGAGGAAGCTGAGAGGCAGAAAATGATGAAAGACAAAAGATAAAGAGAGGGTAAGTTCGATGGTTTCGATTAAAGGGGAACACGTTTGTATAAATTGGGAGACTAAAACGTCAGGTTAAAACATTTTGGACTTGTAGTTATTATCTCAAAAGCTAATGGGCATGCTCGGGGATGATAACGTTTCTAAGAATGAGCCTTTACGACTCTTCATTGTACAATACTGCGAGGAATTTGGCTCAACTGCACAACCAAGTCTCTCAATTGCAATAGGTATTGGGAAATCTTCGCTTGCACTCTGTTTTTCAGAGGGAAAATAACTGACATTATGGTTTCAAATTTTCATTGATAATAATTCTTCAGTCAAATTTTCTGGAAAAAATTAAAGCCATGATGATGATTTGCTTTCTCTTTTTCTAAAACAAAAATTAAATGCAAAGATTTTTAAAAGTTGCAGTTGAGATATGAGATTTTGCAGTTTAGCCACCGAGCAGATAATTTGTTGTTTCTTAAACATTAGAGCATTTCATCCATCTGATGTAAAAAAAGGTTCAGCCCTCTGGTGGGGAAGCGATTACACCGAGATATCAAAACTAAGAATCACATGCAAGAAAAAATATTCTGAAATACGTAAGAATTAGAGGAAGGCACAGTAAAAACTGAAGAGGAAGTCTCGTCTATCAACCATTGATATGATTCACTTCTCTTCTAGGCTTCCGGTATGAAATGAAAAACTTTTGCAAACTTATTGTTTAAAAAGACTTCTTCGAGTGTGTATGATATTTTGGAAACAGGCCTCAAGAAAATTTTACCACAAAATAAAATCAGAAATTACATAGATGAGACAACTCCATTACTGACAGCAAAACATTTTTATAAGCACTTAATAGAGTTGTCTGACATGGAAAAAATTCTGCAGTACATCAAGTATTCATTGAGAAATTTTAACATAAAATGGTTTGAAATACCTTATTCTGAAAGGACACCAAAGTTGAATCAATAGCTAAAATGATTTTCGATATTTTATTGAGTGGAACTGGTGCAGTTATTTCAGACAATATTACTGTCAAATTTTGTTCTCTGCTATCTAAGATCCTACAGAAAGTTTCAAGTTAACAGAGGTTTTGAAGAAAATTTCTTAATATTTTGAAACAATTGATTGATCTATCGGTCATCTATGAACACCATCAAGCCAGATTACTTTTTTTTGTTGGTAAAAGATTTGCCTTGAGTAGAAAAATAATTCAAAGCTGCTGGAAATAAAATTAGATAATGGCAACTGAAATAATAATTGAAGGGGTATGAACCTGCTAAACTAAGTACTAGAAAAGCTGAGAAAATATTGGAAAGTCATTGATTCTTGTTTCTATGCTACAGTTGATTATAGCATTGAAATCTACGATTTCGCTCCATTAACTCCTTGGAGACAATCCATAAATCATCTAACACTGGAACTGTTTTTCAACACCCATCAACATCCTGCAACTCTGACATGGACATTTCTTGGTGAGGTAAGTAATTCTAACTCTGAATGGTTCCAGTTTTTCTGAGGTCCCGAACACACAAAATGTGGAGCATCAGTTAAGAAGGTATGAGAGGCTTTGACAAATGACAGAGGAGTAATACTGTAGTTGAAATACTAAAAACAAGAGGAAGAATTAAATCTGTTTGTCAAAGATTATTTGAAACCACAAACACAATTTATTGCAAAACCAAGACAGCCACCTATCATTGAGGGCATTACGATGTTTGTGGACAGTCCCTCGAAACAAGAATCTTCATGTAACTACAAATTAATATTGATTTCAGTGCAGTTAATCTACTTCACTCCACAGCAAATCTAATCAGACAGACATGCACGTGCAAAAGGTAAGAAATGCAAAATTCATGCAAGCAGAATTGAATTGAACGTTTTTGAGGAGCTATTAATGTTCCTACATATAAGTTGTACGACGATTTCTGCAATTTTTACGCTTTCCCTTTTTCCCTTCTTTTTCATGATAGCTTGAGTTAGATCATGACCATTTCAGAGATATTTTCCCTTCTTTGGTTTTGTTCCTTTCCTCTTTTTGAAAACTTCTCAAATTAAAAAACTTTACTTTGTGGTGTCGCATGTGCCTCACGACTAGATAAAATAATATGTAGTTCTTTGTCCATTATCTGTTTCAAAATTTCAGTAATTTTTTTCTACATATCGAAATTAACAAGTTTTGACCTGCAACAACTTAAGAGGACCTAAAAATTTATATAAAAAAAAAGACTGAAGATGGATACAAACTTTCTGAAATAGCCATAGCCTGAGTAAATACATCTGTAAGAACTGAAGAGATCAGGGAAAAAAAAGGACAGATTCGTGGTCACAATTTAAAAATTATGACTATTTAAACATTCCAAAAAACACTTTGAGCTTTCATGTCCATTTAAAATGTGTGTTTGTTTTTTAACTAGATTTACATAAAAAAAGAAAAAAAATCTGTGGGCAGAAACAATTCTCATGTACTTTTCAAAAAATAAAAAATAATGTTTAATTTTTTAAAAATTAGCTCCTCTGTCAACACTAAACCTAGGATGGAGAACAGGATAATTTTACTCAAATTTAGTAAATTATCAATGTTATGCTTGACAGTAATTGTGAGAGCAGAATGTTCCTACTCGATCACTATTGCTCCACAACTAGCACTCCACACTTCGTGCCAATCTAAGAGAGAAACAATTGTTCTACTATCTACTTATAATTAAAAGAACAGTCTGAAATCAGTCCCTGGCGTTATTTACTTTTTAAAAATTTTCTCATGCATTCATTATAGAAGAAAATGGGAGAAGCAAAAAAACGTCTGAAGAAAAAGGAAGGTATTAGACTGTGACTTACTCTCCAAAATAGTTTTAAAAATTACATCATGTTGGAACAATCATAAAAAGGAGTAAAAAGATATTAAATATCTTACAAACTTGCCTTAGGTATGATAAGGAATGGTTATATACTTATTCTACCTTTTTAATACTTTTTTTATCTCATCTGCTCATTTTGAGCAACAAAATTTTGAGAGAATAGGAAACGCAAACTTTCAATTCACTATCAGAAATTTGCTGATCTCTCGGATATATATTCAATAATTCATCGTGTTAAATGTTTCATGTTTGTCGTGATGTTACTTACGATGTGGAATTGTCAGAACTTGAAATGCTGTGTAAACTGCCGTGACGTGGCGCTACTTCAGATGACCGGGCAAAGCCTGCAATGGGACTGTTGCTAGGTGAACTACGCTTTCTACGCGACCAACCGCCTTCTAACCAAAACAACCAACCAACCAACTAAGCGTTTTAGACTAGAGCCACTAGCTAACATAAACGTTGTTGTTTAAACAATAAAACTGTCTCACTTTCGCTTCGTCTTTTTGTAGATAAGAAGAATTGAGACTGTGAAAACGTGTCTGAGAGAATTTAATACTTGGCAAAAGCCTGGATCCTCCACCCGAGAGAACTCAGTTATATCGATGGATTGAGAGCCAGTGCATGCGTCTGATAGATAATTTTATAACCATTTTTTACAAGAATAACTGAGAATATAACCTGCCAATGTTGATACAAAATATATCAAAAAGAAAACGAACACAATAGTTTGAATAAAACCAGCTAAGTGGCAACCACTATGGAACCATACCACAATAGAAATCGCCTCTGATAAAAATCACCCAAATACCACTTTCAACTGGTGTCAAGAATTTTTAGCCCTTATAGAGAAGGATATTATTTTTCCCTCTTTTTTGCAAAGAGATATTCTTTCTTTGTGTTCTCACATTCCACAAATTTGGAAATCTTTCCAAAACACATCACAAATACTTAAAAAAACAAACATGCTAAAAAGCAAAGAAAAAGAGTTTTTTGTATTTACAAACACAAGTCGCAGTGGAGCAACCTTCCATAAAGGTCCTTTTTAAAGCTTCTAAAAGAGAGCTCCCTTTTTACAGTTGCTTTGTTGTTTTATATTCTCTCCCCCAAAAATGCAGTCTAAGACACCCAATTGGTAATTTGTGGACTCAACACAGGACAAAAGTAAAACTGCAATGAACTTTCGAATAGCCAGTGAGCACAGTGTTATTGTTTTACAACATTCAAGTAAAATGTAAAAGGAAAAAAATATGGTGATAAGAAAAACGTTACCACCACATATAAAGAAAAATCGATATAAAATTAATACGTTAACATAAAAAATTTAAAAATCGAATTGAACTAAAATTTTGTTGGATAGACAGGACACAGCTACAAAAGTTAGATATTTAAGATTCATTGATTGAAATGATAAATCGACAGAATATTCTTGGACCTGTTCTGCGGTTCCAAAGAAAAAACCATTGGAATTATCTTCAGCCAAATAAAGTGAGTAATTTCGAAAAATTGTGTTTCGAGCATGGCTTGAAGAAGTTGAAAATTTGACTTACCGGCCATATACAAAAAAATCCCTTTTCATTGTGCAGAGATCAATACAAAGTCTTTTCAAAGATCAACCAATGAAGGAAAATTTAGAGGTAAATTTTCTTAAAATGAACTTGTCTCCTCTCTGCTTGACGTCATTAAGCAGACTTTATGGAGTCTTTATATTTGATCAAGTTCTACGCCCCTGTAAACTAAGCACTGAGGCAAAAGAATTTGGCTAGAATTACCAACTTTCCTGTTACCTATGGATCACCGGTAATTCCTGATAATTTTACCGGGTTTTTTCAAAACTAACTCGGTAAAATTACAAGATAGGAGCGACGAGCTAACAAAAATTACGGAGACGATAATTAAGTTATTAGGAAAGCCGTGAGATTACTGAAGATCAATAACTAGCTGGAAAGTTAGTATGTAGTTTCACCGAATTATTTTCTTCAGTGTGATGTGAATTTTGGACACTGTAAAACATGATAAAAGAAAAACAAAAATAGAAAGAAAACATGAATTCCTAAAAATAAAAAATATCTAGTTGTTGTGAAATAAAAGTCAACAATATTGTCACAGATAACCAACTAACGTGCGTAAAAATAATGAATAAATAAAAAACGGACGGCATTGATAAATTATGGAAACATGGAGTGAAAAATAAAATTATCTTGCTTAGACTTCTCGATTCCAGAAAGTGAAATTTCAGGTGATGGTTAACTGATTAAGTACAATACTTAGTAACTATGGATGCTAATTATAAAACTGAAAAATAATTTAGCGAAATAGAAGCAATTTTACAGCTCTTCAAAAATTGCTCTACTGTTAAAAGTACATTTGGCAATATTGAAAATGTAAATCAGCAGGAAATTTTGCAGGGAGATTACAGCTAATTCACGAAAAGAAAAGAAAATGTGCCGCAGGTAAAGGCTGATTGATGTATAATACAAGTATCCCATTATCAGGTGTGAGGAACCCTTTCTATCCTGATTGATGACTGAAAAATGGGGAAAACTGAGCGTAATTTAAAATAAATTATGAAAAATTAATTATTGGAGCACTACTTAAGAGCATCATCTCAATTAGCGATGGCTCTAGAAGGGGGGGGGGAGACATTCATTTTTAGAGAAGGTACTTTTTACATTAAAAAAACCATTAATATTTATAAGTTAAGGCATTCTCATCAACGACATTTTTGAGCACAAAAATAGACTGTCGAGAATTTAAGTAATCCGTTTCAACCTGACTCAAAATTTTTTTAGAATTTATATCAAAATTCGGTAACTTTTAATGTTCAAAATGAGATTTTATGTTGAAATTTGCATGGAATTTAGTAATAAATGTTTTTAATACTACTTCGTATTGTTCTCACATAAATTAGATGATAAAGAGTAAAGAACGCAGTATTCAATCAAAAAGATGAAAAAAATCTTGTGCATTAATACATTTTTTTATTTAAAAGGGTGTGAGCAAACTTCAAAAAAGTCGACAGTTACTATCATGGAGTAGTCATCTTCTCTGAAAATGAATGCTCTTCCCTAAAAATTTTTTCCGGATTTTTTCATCGGCAGTCCCTAATACTAAGGCACTATTCTCAAATTGGTTCATGTTTATCAGAGGTGTTCTGAGGTTTGTGTTCATGTTATTCGGGGGCTCTACATTTGTTCAGTGGCAATTTGGTCTCTCATCAACTGAAATAGTATCTGAGTTAGCAACCTGTCGCCGTCCTGAGATCCTTCGCCATCGCTTGATATACTCGACGTTTGTTTCACTAAATGCCTAACATCGCCCGGTAAGACTTCCTCGCTCCGATGAACGGTGAACGAGGATTTACCCTTTGCACCGAAACCTAACCTACGTTTTCGACCTAAATAGTAAGGACAAAAATGAGCCAAAGTTAATCAACAAAGACACATTCAATTGGAATTTTTATTGTTTTATAGCTGGCCTGTTGCTAATTATTCTATGGCATGCTGCTCGTAAGCCATGTTCATTAGGGTGTCTACAAAATTTTTCCAGACGATTTTGGATATTTTCCTGCCTTTTCTACACTTTATCCAGATTGATGTGATAGATTCTCTTCATCAGACAAGACAGTGATTAGTATTGATCGATCATTGATAATTTAGGGCCCATACCCCAGGTAGCATAGATTGCAATAAATTGCGATTAGATGGTAAAATTTTTGCTACAGCATCAAAGTGATGTGTTTGTTACTTACCTTCTTGTTAGAGGAACACTTTTCATTGAAATTTATTACCATCAAATTGAAGTAAGTTGCAATTTTTCATTACATCGCATATTACTTATCATCCTGACACATGAATCTCATTTGTTGATTGTTTGAAATCGGCATTTATTGGCCAAATGATGTAAAAATATTGCAATCTCAGGGTTGAAAAATTTTATTGTATTGTAATGTATCGCAATTATATTTTAATACTTCCATTACAATGTGCTACTACGGGCGTAGTGCTTGCAAAATAGGTAGTGATAAAAATGAGTCAGTCTAGATTTCTTAGGACTAACTTGACTTTAAAAATAGCAAATGTGAAGATTTACTGTAAATTTTTGACATTTTTCCATATGCCAAAAAAAAAAAAAAAATTGTCTCAGGGTGGCAGAATTTTCAGTAAGACGATATTTATCCAGTTAAATTGATAAAATCGAATTTTGAGATTTTGCCAGAAAACTCTAAAAAGGGCTTAAAAATAAGTTGGGAGGCTTTTGTTTCATTTTTGTGCCTATAGAGGGCATTAGAATTTCTTGACCTGGACAAAGCAGTTAGAATTTAAAATAGCTTTTTTTCATTTGTATACTTCCTGAGTTACAAACTTTGAACTGCTGTAACTTTGGCTCCGTTTGACAAAGTCAGTAGTTTTTGCCTCAAAGCACTTTCTCTTCAATACGCTTTGCTCTAATGATCGATCAACTTTGACTTTTTGTGGCTTATGGTCCTTTTCTTGTAGACAGTCACATGTGAAGATAAACCACCAATTCTTGAAATTTTAAATAGAGGTAGAATAATTTTGTTTCTAGAATATTTTCTGACATTTTATGGATTAAAACTTGTCTAGCAGTCTCCTTGGAACAATTGAGCTGCTTGTGTACAAAGTTTTACATACTCTTTCAAGACCCTTAATGCAAATTTGGCACTATCTGCCAATTATCGAATCTCACACAAAAATAACGATCTTCCTTCAGATTTGTAGACACCTTGCTGAACTAGTAGGCCAGAGATTAATCATTATTTCCGAAATAGAATGCTGATCTTGAGGCGTTATCAAAAAAGTTGCTTTCTGATTCGGTGATTTCCTCTAAGAAATTGAAACGCCTAGTTTTGTCTAATTTTCACCTTTCAGTTATTTCACCGCTATTTCCTGAACTTATTGAGTTAGCTAGTGCAAAAACGTTTCATGTCCACTTTTTAGGATCATACTTTGGACATTAGTAAAAGGAGTCAAGAAACTTCCTTCTTATCCAAAACTATCATGGAAATAAACACTTTGGACAGAAAACGTTTTTGCATGAGCAAGATTTTTTTTCAATTTAAACTGCCTTACCAATACTTTTAAGTCATAAAATTAAGATGAAGAAAGAACGATAAAGAAATAGAAAGAATAACTGACCAGTTGCAGACAGCTGAGACGTTGAGTTACTCTTCTTCCCCATCCCTGTTGGATTACGGTCTGACGACTGCTTCACTCCACCTCTATCACTTGCCGTGCTTGACACTTTGTTTCTACGCGAGTTTCCATTATCAACGTTTCGAAGGCCTAAAGCTGTATCACTTAAACTTCCTTCTGGAAAGAATAAGGAAAGAGAGTGAGTTTCGGAGAGAGCGAGTAAAAAAAAAAAAAAAAAAAAAAAAAGAGTCTACAATAAAGAACCATATAACTGTCCTTGGAAGGAGTGACCTCAATTATTAGAGGTAGATTTTTTAAGAGAGTGAATTCTGCGGAGTTGGTTCAAATGATCAGAATTGGAGATTTTGACAAAAAAATTTCGCTAAAATAACAAAGAATAAGTTTAGAGCATTTTAGTGCAATAATACGCCATTAAAGCGTGTGAAGTTAACATACATATAAGTAAAAATAGAGCCCCTCAGAGATATCTGCGAATTTGTAAAAATTGACAAATTTAAAAATCGGAAAAATAGCGAAAATGCATATTTAAATTAATGGTACCTTAAAAATGTGAAAATATCTTTAAAATGTGCATATTTTAAACAACTTTCCAACCACAACTTCGCAACTTTTTTTTTTTGTGCCAGTTACGGAAATTTCGCGTTTTCAACTCGGCAACGCTGTAGCATACGGGGAAAATTTTTTTCGGATTTGCCAGAAAAAATTGTGCCTTGTGACAGGGAACAACATATCAAACTTCGGGCCGGACCTGAGGAGGAGTGGGGGAGGCATTTTTGAATAACCCTTTTTTAATCTGGAATTTCTTCTGAGTAGCAAACGCAGTAGATAATTTCCGATCACGTTTTCTCGAACTACATTTTTTTGAACTGCTGTTTTATACCATCATAACTCCGATTTGATCATTGGTTTCTTACAATTTTGGAGCAAATTATTTATTATTTTTTGAGTGCATATTTTATGAACAGCCCCTTACGATATGTAAACAAGAAATACATTTGCGAAAATGATACATGATATTCTGCTTCACACAAAATGCCAGATGATGTCCTTGGCAAGAATTTCAACATTTCTTCACTTTTCTGGTGCATAAAATGAAAAAGAAGGAGAAAATAAAAATTAATGTATGACCAGGAATTGCATTGTCTCAAAAAACGTACTGGGAAAGTTTTTTATGGAACTCTCGTTCCGCTCATGGCTCTTTTATTTGAACTGGTCATTTTTTGATGAGCTAAAAAGCACTTAGAAAAATCCATAACTCTGCAGAGAGAAGATTTTTTACTCTGCCAACAATCTTCACATGGGAGAAAGTATGCTCTTTTAGAGAGCATGTAAATTTTACTCTGTTCTAAGATTTGAATATGAAGAAAATCGGATAATACTTTTTCACTCTTTTTTTTTTTGATTCAGACAGCAGAGGAAAAAAACCTTGGTGTACAGCGACAACATTTTTTGAGTGAGCAATTTTGTCAATTTGGGACAAAACTTTGATATTTAAGTTTTCGAGCAAACTTTGGAGTGCCTTAACACTAGTTTGGTTTTAAATTAATGGGTATTTTCTGTGGCAACACTCTTGCAAACCATCCCTCTTATGAACGGTATTGTATATCGTAGTTTTGAGTCTCCCACAACTGAAATTACTTGTCGACCAGGTGGACACAATTTGTGAAAGTTGCACTTAAATCACCCAGAGAATCACTTTTATTTTTTGATAGCAAAGAAAGAAAAAAAAAGTAAAAAAAATTATCCATTACCTATATTTTCTTCGGCAGGAACATCAGCATTTGATAAACTTCTAGAAAAGGTGCTTCGTTTCTGCTGACCATTCGACGACTCCACAGTTGATGAGGGTCCATAATCACTATTAGGATCAACAGAAAGCATCGATTCAACGTTACTGTGCTCACTAGACGCTACGGGATTTTCATCACAAGGTAGGGATTTAGAAGTGCTTAGTTTAGGATCTAATCTACGCGGAGGAGGTTCTATATTGGCTATCAAAGCCTTAGCTTTTTCATCGTCCAGCTCCTCAACCTGAAGTAACGGAACCTCAAAACTAGCAGGTTTAAATGTGACTTTTCCACTCCTACGACCTGAATCATCCGAAAGGGAACTACGATTCGAGCCAAATTTGGATGCTTTGATCTCACTGTCCTCTTTTTTCAACTTATCGATGAGGAAACTCTCCATCTGATCACGGTCAAATGAGATTCTGTTTAAATTTTCAAAATCTGCTCTGTGATAATACACTTCATCTCTCAAAGTTCCAGTTTGCGTAGGCACTTGCGGAAGTTGGTGACGCTTGGTGCTCAATGGCTCAGGAGTGTAAAATGCGGAACGACTGTTTGGATGCGGTTCATGATAGCGGGGATCTTTTGTACTGCCAACATTACTTGGAGGATTTGGCGAGGGGCTATAGGAATAGTTGGCCGGAAAAGAATACTGTCGAGAAAGAGTGGGTCTGATTCTTTTAGAGAGTAATGCTCCAGGTTCAAATGTGTTACTATGAACGCTACTGAAACTGCCGTTACTGAAGGAATGGGAAAGGGCTTTTGTGAAGATTTTAGGGCTGAAAAAGAGACAAGGCTGTTAATTGAAGAATATTAAAAGTAAAATAAAAAAGAAATCATTAACTCAGGCTTGTAAAGAAGTAAGAGAAAAATATGAAGTTATAGATGAATGAAAATTTACAGCACCTCTGAAATTTTGTACTTTTGAAGTTTTTCACGCCTACTATGACTACAATGCTAATCTGTCCAATTGTTAATCCATAACTCGAAAAATGAATCTCAAACAAGTGAATGATTTAAAATCTTATGATTGAGAAGGTTTTCTAAGGTATTTGTTGAGACAAACCGATAAAGTCAAAAGGAGCTTTTCCGATTGAACGATAAATATGCCCAATTGTAACAGGACAGCTGTCTTCAAAAAAATTTAAACGAAGTATTGGACTTCCGCTCTTGTTATCAAAATAAATAAAAATATTAAAATCAGAATGCCAGAAATTGACAAGAATTATTGGGAAAGTCAGCACTGTAAAAAATTTTGCCGAAACGATTGGAAGAGCATTACATGGTAGGTATCTGATCATATTTTACATTTGCTGTTTGTCAATTTCTCAAATTGAAATGAAAGATGGAATTAGACAAGACATTTCGGTTTTTTGTTGTGTTTTTCTGGTCCTGTTCCCCCTTTTATGATTTATTTTGCTTATTATTTAATGGAGGGCTCCTCAATTACAACTTTAAGTAAATTATCATGAGGAATCCTTCATTTCAAAAAATTTTGTGGCCAGAATTTGGAGAGCCATTCACCAAGAAAAAGAATGATGCATTATTAGACTGAAAAAAATAGCTAACCTGAAACGAGAGCCCCTGGGTCTCTCTGATTGAGTAGAAAAGGCACTAGATACAACACTTTCAAGGTCGCTGTCACCCCGGCTCTCTACAGGAGACATCAAATGAGGCTCGCTGTAGCCACTGGGATTCCAGCCTGCAAAAAAATTAATTCAAGTCATTCTTTCAGGGCACTAATCACATCGAAATAAATTATTTCAATACAAAAAGCAATAAATATAACAAAAATTTCCCTTCAGTTGTAAAATTGATGAGTCAAGTTGGATAAAAATTGTCTGCAATTTCTTTCACATGTTCCTAAATGAGTTGATTATAAGAATCATTTCTTCCTGAGGCAAATTTTTATCGCCAGGCCCAGCAAAAAGTTTTTAAAACCAGGTTTCAAGTTGTTGTGATACAGTCGAATCTTGATAATTCAAAATTGAAGGGAATTGGCTTTTTCTTCGAATTAGAGAGGTTTCGAAATAAAGAGAGTTCGAATTAAAGAGATTCCATGAGGAAAAATTTCGAATTAGAGAGGTTCGAATTATAGAGGGAAGGCGCCATCTGAATTCGAATTATAGAGGGGCAAATGGACAGATTTACGCCAAAAGATCTTTAGGTCAAAGGTCAAGCTCTTTCAGACACCCAGGTACGTGAACAGTTGACTTTGAATTGTAGAGGAAATGTACTGTCTTATTTCAAATTATAGAGGGAGGGCCATACTTACTTCCCACACTTCGAATTACAGAGAGAATTTTCGTCGCAATTTCGAATTATAGAGGGCCGCGCCAGCTTAAAAATTTCGAAATAACGAGGGGAGAAAAATACATTGATTTTCTTCGAATTATCGAGAGATTTCCAAGGGAAACAGACTTTCCTTCAAATTAACGAGGTTTTCAAATTATCGAGGTTCGAATTATCGAGAGTCCACTGTATTTTTTCTTGTTTGCAACAATCTCCTAGAGAATTTCACCCTGAATAATGATGAGAAGTGGGTCTGCCGTAGGCAAAACGTAACATAGATGAAAAAATTAAGGGTTTCTTTTAGATGAATTTCATCATGATTGAGAATTATAAGTGATTGATTCAAGTTCGAAATGATCTGAAAATACTAACCTGAAAAGCCGGAAGACTTATTAGATTGTAACTGACGAACTCGTTGCTTCATCAATTGAGAACGATCTTCTAAATCCTAGAATAAGAAAGTAAAATAGATTAGAGCTAAGAAATGAATTAAAAGTACATCACATTCAGATTGATGTTGAGAGGAAATTCCATTTTTGCAGAGCATTTTTAAAACGCACTCACAGCAACAACACCGAAAGAGTAAAAATACATAATTTTGAAGCATGAATGGGTGCATTTGAACAAAATTAGCCTAACTAAAGTTCACGTTACCTAATTTTTACTTATGTTTTATTTTTTTAACATTGAACTAAACTACTTCGCGCCTTTAAACAATTAAAGAATACCCACTAGATTATGAAGAATATATCCACAAACTTTCAAGTTTCAATGTTGCTTATTTTTCTGTTTAAAAAATAATACATTGGGTAAAATGAAGCAACGTCTGATGTAGTAAGGCTGATCCTGATTAAAGCAATCCAATTAATTCCTATTTATACAGGCCTGTGTACAATAAGGTTTCAAACTCAAAAGAACAAAAAAAATTCCCCAGAAGCTTCGATGAGCCTTAGATGAATTTATCCATATCAACAGACCACAAGATAAAACAGTAAATGACATGATTCAAAACGATTGAGTTCTTCAGTCAAGTCAAAAATCAAATCAATAGCTAACATTTTACAATGTACTTTGGTTTGAAAATACAAATTTTGGAAAATAAGTTTGAAAAATTTGGGGTCTCTTTTCTTGCATCAATAATAATAACGGCTGTTACAATTTGAATTTTACAGTGGTTTTAAAGGGATAAAGGTGGAAGGAAAATCTTCTGTCAACAAAAGTACCTGAGAAACTCGATGTCTAAATGTTTGGTGGAGGGGTGGAGGTATATTTGGTAACTGTCGTTTCTTTGGAGATGAAATAGGAGTCGCAGTGGCAGACCTGGAGGAAAATCTTGGTACGTAGGCATGACTTGGCAGTATCACACCGTTTTGATTTACCCTGAAAAATTTGAAACAAGACTGTTAATTTCTGAAAACTGAAAAGACATTTATGGTATACATTTTCTCTCTGGTCAGTTAACTCCCTGGTAGTTGCTAAGTCATTACCTCCAACTGGAAACTCGACATTGAATTAGTTTTAAATTGGATGAAATTCAGCACATAGGACAAATTGGACCATTTGAAAGAAGCTCCAGGAAATTATTAAGTTGAAAACTGTGGGATAGATGCAGAGATAGCACTGTTGAGCAGTTATGATATTTTTTTTATGAGCCATTTTTGCAGTTGAAGCTGTTCTTCCAAACAAAGTATAAATGGGATTCTCTTTAAGCAGACGCATACTTTCCGCAGGAAGATTGAAAACATACATGGCTCTGAAACATAATAGCGCCTAGGGTGGTTTTTGCAATAGCTCCTCATTTCCAGGCTCTTAAAATGGCAATCAAGCTCATTTAATTTGAAATACAACCCTATCTAACATACATGTTATCAAATCTAAATTCTCTAAAAATTATCATTGGCAGTATGATGCTATCACTCAGCAGTCACTTAAGATTGCTACTGACATGATAGTTATCCAATCATAAAATAGACAAGTTTCCAAAGATATCAGAAGCACTGTCATAATGGTATTGTTAGATCACTTCAAAATCAGGTCATGCAGATTGTCAAAGCAATTCAGCGGTGCTAGGGAAAAACGCCCGATGAACCTTTAAACATTGCAAAATTCCCTTTAATTAAACATGAATTTCCTGGTCGACTTACGAATCTTCTTCTTTCAATTTTTCAGATAATTTTTTTTGGCAATTTTTTCTACCATTCTTGCAAATATCCAAGAAAAAAACTCATATTTTCCCGCAAAACTAAATATTTTATGGGAGGAAATTCGGTAACTCTCGAATGTTCAAACAGCGTTTTTTGTAAAACAACAGAATTATCCTGCGTGCTTTAGTGCCTGTTGCACAGTAATATTTGGAGTTGTATTAACGATGCTCTGATCAATTCTGACAGCATAACGAAAAAAAAAACAAAACGCAAACTATTGTGCAGTGAAAGCATCAAACTCCGATTGATAGCATACCAAAAAATGGCTTTATGGAAGTTTTAATAATGATTGTTAAAATTTAGTTGCTAGTAAAATATAAAAAAGCGCATAACTGTGCAGAGGTGATACCTGTAATCTGGAGGAGAAAGACTTCTATAATCTGACATCCTAGTCGGAGATTTCGACCTAGACCTTGTATACATACTTGGTGATTCAGCGGGAGCCGCTGAATGTGACCTTTGAATTAAATTACTATGATTCTGAAAACACAGAGGAAAACTTTTAAGGTGATTTGGAAAATTAAAGATAAATTATTTGAATCTAAATTGTGCTCTTCAATTGGACTTACAACGTTTACAGGCTTGTAGTTTGACAGAGGCATTCGAAACTTTACAATAATTTTTTTCCCTTTCATGGAAGCAATTTCCTAAGTGAACTGAATTTTTTACACTTCTTTTCTGAAAAGGGGAAACTGAAATAGTGATAATTTAAAAAGAAGCAATCAAATTTTTTTACAAAACTTGAACCCAAAAAAAAAGTTTAAACATTTGGTTCTGTTCACTAAAGTCCTTTTTTTACGCACAAAGACACATTGATAAAATAATTTAAAAGCATAATACACAGATAAAACTGATGTGAAACTTTTACTGTAAGGATTTTTTCCAGCGATGACAATTTTAAAGTTGGTGTATTAATATTTCAACTACTAAGGTAAAAATTATATCGCATGATATCAATGAGCAGATAAACAGATAAAAAGACTAACTGACAAAAAAAATAAAGGCTCCTTACTTTTTTATAAGAAGGAACATCGTAACTAGCAGGCTGCATTATGGAGGAAGTTCGTTTGCGCTCTTGGGGTGACATATCTCTCCGCGATCGTCGTTTTTCGCACATATCTATGTCAGGCGGAGGACTGGAAACATTGTAAAACATTGGATTAATGAATTTTTGACCAAAAAAATGGTATCGAAAAATTATTAAAGCAATCTATTTTGGTTAGGAGATGTGAATATCAAAAAAAGAAAAGAAAACAATTAACAAAGCTTGCAATAGTGTTCAAGATTGTCATCATATGATCAACTTTTTCCAATTTTACTCAGAGGACTTTGAAGGGGAAAAATGCCATCAGTCGTACAACCGCGTGTGTGTACACCAACAGTGTTGCGATTAGCCACGGCTTTACAGAAATATGTTGCTATTTTTTTAGTTCTTTCTTGGACATTCTCCTGGATTCATGTTGACTGAAAACTGCCAAATATTTGAAGGAACGTAAATAATAATACGGAACGGAGACTTAGACCAGTGACATTAAATTGATGACAAACAGCATATATTACCTGGTAGAACTGCCTACACTACTGATAGAAGCTCCATCAGCTACCCTTCGACTAACGTCATCCAGGTCGGATGTATCCGAGTCAGACAGACGAGAGAGAGTTGATGGAGGGGAGAGATGATCCGTTGGCGTTAAAACTAGATCATAATCACATCCAGACGAGAAACTCTGAAAAATTAGCACAAAAAATTGAATGAAATTATTCAATGCTAAAATATTTGCTGATTTGCCATCAAATTGGGCTAAGATTATGGCCTAGGCATACTTGGAGAGTAGAAATAAACTCAAGGCTACATAATGTTATCAAGTTTCAAGGGAAAATTGATTTCTTCACTCGTTATAAGTAAAACTACAGAGCACTAGCTCTTAAGAAAAAAAATTAAAGTTTTGAATTAACAGTTTTAACGAGTTTTCCTGATTGCTCAAGAACGAAATCTAAGTGGGCAAAGTAAATATGCATAAACTTACATGAGGTATTAGACCCTCTTCATGAGCTTTCAGATGATACCATTTTGGCTCATCTGTAAAATACGCGGTTGCTAATTCAATTAAAACCTGAAACAATCATACACAATCATCAGTCAAACAGAAAATTGGCATTCCACGGATTCTGAGAGTTTCTTCATCTTAAAGGTACAATGTGAGACAAGTAATTCCAAGGTTTTTTAGTTATCCATGAACCAGGGGATGAATTTATCCAAAAATTGGAGGAAAAATTCCAGAAATTTCTCCCATCCCACTGAACCCAAATGACCTTCTCCAAAATAATAGACTTTGGTGCTTTTTGAGAATTCGTAACCTTAAAATCCTCTTTCTCACCAGAAAGATTATCCCTGCACTTTCCAGGAAACTTACATACATAACGCCACTTTTATAGTGCAGCCTCGCGCTCTGCGACGCCCAATCACCATTGCCCCCTATCCTCCCAGAGATCATCAGGCAATTGGCACCTTCTGATCTCCTCCTCCACCACTTGTCGCCAACCTTTCACAGGACGTCCACGCCGTCGCCTTCCAGGAGGAACCCAATTGAAAACCTGCTTGGGCAACCGATCGTCTGCCATCCTTCGCACATGTTCATACCAGACCAAATGCTTGGACCTAATATCGTGCACGATGTCATTCTCCACACCCACTTAAACTTAGGAAACTTAGTCTCAGGAAACTTAATTTTATTTAATTTTATCATCACCAAAATCAATGAGATGCACATTCATTTTTATAACTTAGGAATACATATACATTAATTGTGACCTTCCTGTTGGGCATTTAATAGGAAGAACAAGTTCCATTGTACTTAAAGTATAAAAAATTTGGTAACATACTTGGAGTTTTACTTCTGACCTTGTTTTCGAAAATTCATTAATGCTGCAAAAGAGTTAGTAATGTCTAGATATAAAGAGCAAATACTCACTTCGCCTAAAAAATCATTTGGGGCAAATCGAACGTAGTCCCAAACGGTGATTTCAATTGTCCTATAATCCAAATCACTTCTTCGAACCGACGAAAAAACAAAACTTTGATTCCACTTGGGTTCGTTAGTACAAGCTAGAGTTTTGGTTCTCCTTTTTGATTTCTCACTGAAAATCACAATGAAAATAGGCGTCAACTTATTAATTACACACTGGAACAGATGACAAACAATGAGAGAGAGGGTATCTTCAAGCACTGGGTCTCCTACAAATATCACATAAATGAATCAAATAGGGCTATTGATGTGTAGATCCAGATGCATAAAAAACTAGAATATATTTGAACTGGTGGAGTTTATCGAAAGGTAAACTAAAGGATGTGACTTTGCAGAATTCAAATATTCAATCCTTTCAAGGAATTATAAAATGTTATCCTCGATTTAAAAAGGTAAGTACAAAAAATAAGCGGCTCAACATGATTCATAATTGGACGATAATATTCTTGTATGAAGAGGGGATTTTTGATTCAACCACTTATCCCTGCAAAAAATTTCACGATGGCGAGTGGATGGTTTTTATTTTTGGTACCATTTGAGCTGAAAAACACTTTTTTATTCATGTTATACTAGTGTAGAAATCATTTTAACTTTACAGTGTTAACACAGTTCAACTAAGTGTACCCTTCTCTAAGTCGACTGTGAGCAGGCCTTGCTTTACTCTCCATAAATCGAAGGCCAAAGTGCAAAACCAAGTATCTCTCTCTGCAATGTTGTAGGCTTTCTGTGATACATTCTTTTTTCTTTGAAAAACTAGCAAACGAAATTTCTTGAAAACTTCTTTGACTTTCCGTCTCTGTTTGCAAAATATTCTGTAAAAATGTTAAGCTATTAGGTAGGCTTATTCCTTTCCGAAAAAACAAGATAGGAGCGGAAATTTTGAGACACCACGATGGAGGTACGTAGTTTTGCACTTGGGCTATTGAAATGTTGGAAACTTGGATTTTAATATTAGCTTCTTGTTTTCCTTAATCCAGCTTTGGGCTAATGTCATTTTTACATAAAAGATTTTAGGTTTGAGAAGTTAACAGGTAACTGACCTTCTATCTGGCAGTAAAAACAATTTGGCATAGGGATTTCGGGGTTGACCGTCTTGCCGTGGTATCAGCCCAGCTGCAGAGAGTAGAGTAACAATAAGCTGTAACGTCACTGGATCGAACCACAATTTTAACTGAAAAACAAAACATTTTTATGATTTTAAGAGCTCAAGAAATAAATGACAGTTTGAATGATCAGTGAGTACTGTCTGCCATCTTCTACAAATGCTACAGAACAAAGAATTTGGGAGTACGGCCATGCCTCTATCTAGTTGGACTAGCTTATTTCATTCTCCCACTGATAGGTGACGCTAACAGATGCGCAAGTTGTTGCAATAATTGCCAATTTGCAAATAATTTTTGCAATTGAATTGCAACATGGGCAAACAATAAATTCATAACTAAATGGACACATTTGCCGAGATTCAAGGTAGAAATCTAGCCATGATCTTCAAAGAAAGATCATTCAACTTTTTCTTTTCAACGAGTATCTTTCTTTATGTATTTGTTTAGATTTCAACAGACGCTGCAAAATAAGTTGAGGCTTTATTGAACATATCAATTAGAGGATATAACTTGATGCCAATCTTTGACTTGTGAATTATGAGTATAATCTTATTTGGTTTGACATAAATGCACCAAGTCGCATTTTTAAACAAATAAGTTAAGAGTACTAATGGATTAACTATTTGTAAGTTTTATCCTGCAAAAAATTCAAAGTCGAGAAAAAATATTTTGAATGTGAAAAAGTGGTAAAATTTTATCTATAACATTGAGTCTTGCGAAGAAATTAAACTTCAAACTTGCTTTTTTTCTGTCAAGCTTGATGCAACTTAGTGCATTCTTGTTTATCTCATTCTGTTTGTGACCGTCTAGAAAAATTAAGACCTTACGGTAAAAAAAAACTCAAAATTGAGATGAGGATGCCATGTCTTGGAATACATTTCTTTTTGGCGGTTCAGCTCAAGAAATGTCCAAAAAAATCGAACCATACTCAAATTGTCGAGGTTTGACATTTGCAGTTCATGAACACAGTCGAGAGAAAAAGCAACTTTAGTTTTAGAGTTTTAATCTGCCTCATTCAAGGCTCAAAATTGGCAGATTGTGATGCAACTCTATTGTCAGTGAGTGGCACAATGATGGAAAAAGTCGTATGTAACATATTTTTTGGTATACTAGAGAGTATATTTACTGCAAAAACGAATATTAACCAGGGAGTCTACGTAAGTTTTATTTTGGATTTTCTGGGTTCTCTCCTGATATTTAAAATGACATTTTTTGATATTTTGCGCAAATAAGTTGACACTTATTTGATTTTAAAAACGGACATATTTAATGAATTGAATTAAAAATTTCACTTATGCATGCGCTGACTACATGTAGATGAAAAATTCTTGAAGCACTCGGAATATCCTGATACATAACCGATTTCCCTGTTATTTTCTGGTCTTTAATGGCAGAAGACACCCCCTTAACAGATATTGCCCTCCTGCAAATTTGATTGTCACATTTTTTTTCTCTCTCTCTCTTTTTGATTTCTTGTCTTGAACCTCTTACTCAAGGCAAGTAGTTTTCCAAGAGATGAAATATTGAGTAACATTTGAAGAGGAAAAATGTAAATTTAGAGAGATAGGTCTCACCTGTAATCGGCCTCCAATATTTTCGGTATTTGATAATGAGACTGGCACTCGAGAGGATCGTTGCCCGTTGCGGGAGATATCTGGACTTCCTGGCGAAGTGACAAGAACGCTTGGTTTATCTTTCCCTCTGTCGTACACATCTGAACAAAAATAAAAGGACATTTATGAATAACACGGCTAACTATGAATATGATAAAGCACATTTTCAAGGCGAATAAATTAATAGACAGAAACTGGGCTAAAATAAAAGTAAAGCAAAAACAGAAACGAAAAAAAAAAAAAAAAAATGCGAACAGTAAAGATACAGGCAAGAGGATTTCTCCTGTACCAGCTTTAAAGGAAGTTTTGGTTGCAAAATTTTGCATTTCAAAATCACATGGACGTAACTGAGATAACCAGCGCAGAGTTAATCTGAATAAACAAAGTACCAGTACATAATTCCTCTTATCCTTGATATCAAAAGGAAAACAATGCAACTAAAAATTAGTGAAATAATTCCTACTTTGCCACTAGACACATTAATTACAAAGATAGTCTCTCTGAATCGAAAATCAATTCTAGAGTTCCATGAGCTCGTGCAAAGACGCATCAAAGTGTTTGTGAGATTCCTGCATGCGGACAGGCAAGGCTCAAGAGCTCCATATAGAGGGGAAGCACGATGAAGTTACACAAAAAATCACAATCTTACAAAAGAGTTCCCAGTTTCCTGGCTACGCATTTTTTCTCTAAGGCCTTAAAATGAATTTCAATGGGCATACTGTTCCTTTTCCCAAATTTAATTTTTGTCGACATTGATAGTAAATTGGATCCCGTACCATTAACTTGAGTCATTTTTGGTATTATAATTTCTTAGTGACTGATTTAGAGACGGACTTATTGCTTGTTGCAAAATATATTAATCACACCCAGATTGCATTGCAATGAATCTAGGATGCACCTGAAATAAACAGCTTAAATAATGAGTACTTCGCAAAATAAAACAGAAACCCAAAGGCAGCCTGGAAACTATCGAGCAAGCAAAGAAATATGGAAAATAAATCTGCAGCTCATTTGCGATGGCTAGAGGAAAAATAGGAGGAGAATGAATAATTTAAAGGTCAAGTATTTACAGATCACTAGGTACACAATTTGTTAGGTTTTAGCTGAAAAGATAAAAAAGTTAAAAATAATTTAAACGAAAGATAAAAGAGAGTTAGAAGAAAGGGAGAACAGAGACACAAAACAGGCATGTCAAATGTTGCGGTGACATCAAACAGTATGGCTGAAATATAAGAGATTATTTGAATAAAAGAGATGAGAAAAGGAAGAGCATTATTATAAAAAGAAAAAAATATCAAGGCAGAAATGAAACATAGCGCAGAGAAAGAAAGAGTTTACGAAATGAAAATTGCTGCTAAAGTTGCCGATTGACATAGAGAGCTGCAAAATCAGAATGTTTTCTACGTTAAAAAGATAAAGATAACACATAACATAAAGAATTGAAATAGAAGAAAAAGGTACATGATTGTTTGGGGTTCATTAGCCTCTAACTTAAAAAATAATTTTCAAAAATTAAAAATTTATTTATAATTCCTATTTATTTACAAAGTGTTAGCAGACCTAGTTTCAAGAGAACTGTATACTTTGAAAAAAATTAGACGTTTAACCACTCATACATGGTAAAGCATTTTGTATGAGTATTTGATGAACAAATAAGTACAGCACTTACTCACACTGTCTTTAAAGAGATCGCTTGTAGTGGCCAAATGCTTCTTACTACTGACACTTGCTAAATCAGCTCAGTTTATGATGTTTGAAAAAGTTTCAATGAGCTTTCCAGATTTGTTCCTTGGTATTTTATAATTTTTTCTCTTTTTTTTCTTTATCATAGAGCAGGATGAAATTTCGAGCAAGGTGAGTGCTGCCCTTATCTTGCCATCGATGCAAGATGCTACTTAAAGCGCAATTTTCAATAACTTCATGATAGCCTGGATTACCGGATACGATTAATTTTTTGCTAGCCTTGAAGGAAAATTAATTTATTTATCGCAGGTGATAAAAAAGAAGAAGATGGATGCCTTTGAAAATTTATTCTTTCATGAGAGGTAAGTTCCAAAGTGCTGTGTATACAGTTTCTTGGTTCTTGATTCTCTAAGACTGAGCAGCGAAAAAGCATGGCAGCTCATTGGATATTAGTAGATAGTCCTCCAACTTAAATGTTCAAAGTACAAAATATCCAAAAGGAAATGACTAACAACATCTACTTTAAAAAGAGCAATGCATAATTTTTCCTTCGTAAGTAAATTTTTAACGACTTTTTGTCTACTACTTTTAGAGAAAAGCCTTACTGTACAAAAAGAGCACTATAATTAAACCAGCCAAATTTTCTTTTTACTTGAAGACTATGCTTCATTCAACTACTACACTGTTTTTTTCAGACGGTTTGCAATAGCTCATATATAGTTCATAAGCTCCCATCCACCATTTTGATATTTTGGAACACTCAAACTATATTTTCTGTTTCATTTAGATTCGCCATGGAGGAGATTAAACTGTTCGTAGGCCCACGCTCATCCCTAATTGAGGACTTTATCAACATTCAAAGTTTTAACTACCTCTTTCGAAACACTCCATAACCAGCAGGCCGATTATTGAAAGTTTAAGGCAGCTTAATAAGACATCATGCATCAATGCATGACTTAACAATGCAATAAATTGCATTGTTAAGTTAGGGATGTGCCTTGGCTTGATGCGCTGACATTGATTCGATAATTGGGCCACAGAGGTTTTTACTTTTTTGGGCAAAACATTAAGTTGGGCACTCTCCGTCAAGGGCACTTTTTCACAAGAGTATTGTCATGTTGGACATTTTGAAGCGGACATTGTTGTAATGCACCATTCTCATTGAGCATCATGTAAAAATTGGCATGCAAAACATTGCATCAATTAAGAAAAAACTCTTGGCAGATTTGGACTTCTGACCCAAAAGACGAGGACAATAACTCCTGTTCATGAGTCTAAAGACTCATTCACAACAAAAAAAATTAAGAGGGATGAAAGCAAGATTTGGTTACAAAAAATATTGCATTCAACACAGAAGTTGTGGTATTATTTCGGAATTAAGAAACTTTTTTTATACCTAAATCCTGCTTTTATTACTCTAAATTTTGCAATTTGTTTCATTGCGAATAATTCTTTAAACTCGTGCACAAGAGTTTTGGTTGCTTTTGCGGCTAAAAATTCAAAATTTGCGACGATTCTTTACTTAATTGATGCAATATGTTGCCCAAAACTTCAATCTTGCCCAAGATCTGGGACAGATCACCTTGAGATTAACACTGAAGAGAGCAAAATCAAACCAAAAACCAAAATCATTTTTGAAAAATTTCAAAACTGCGCAGTGCGCAGAAGAGGCAGACGATGATAGATTATCAAAACTTTGAATCTTTAGAGAATGCAGGGTCAACAGTCCTTGCTTTCCAAAACAGGAGGGCTATTATTATATTTTTTTCTAATATGTCGCCAGTGCGAGGAAGAAATAGATTCAATGATGTAAAAAAAGTAGGTACCATTTTTTGAATACTACTTACCTATCTAAAACCTATGATTCAAAGAAAGGATTCAAAGATTTATGCTGACCTGAGTAGGACATTTGTTGCTTCCATGGTCCTGGACGTCCTTTCTGTAGATTCCTGGAGACTATCAGTTCTACTTGTGGTTCTTGTCGCGACTCAGCGATTATTTCATAGACATCTTGATAGGTTTTACCCTGAAGAGGTCGGCCGTTCCATTCAATTACTTCATCACCTGGAACATACATGACATTTACGTGAGTGCAAGATTGACAAATTACAGCCGGTCAATGGTTTAACAACATCTAATAAAAGGCAAAGAGAGTAAATTTGGTATGATTTCGTTCTACAAAGATAAAAGACTAGAAAACGGATGATTTTGCAGATTTCAACACAGATATTATCAAGGTAAGTTAAGGTGGCGGTCATTTTTCAAAATCGAGAGAATTTTTGGTAAACCCAGGATTAATCTCGTTCAGAACATATTATTAGGTATCAAGGACACAAATCATTTTGGGCGAAAAAATACTTGAAGTATTAGAGTCACATTATGTACCCATTTATGGAGGAAGTTTAGTTGATTCTTAACCTCAGCCAGTTGAATAAGTTCCAAAGTTCCTATTCAAAGTAGGGATGTCAATATTGACCACAAGCCTCAGAGTCTTTCAAACCCGTATTCAAAATACTTACTTAAGTTGGACGAGCACTTAATTTACAGATTCTTAAGTTGAGGAAATTATGTACTGAATATCGAAGGTATGCATACACAATGAAATGAATCATTGGTGCGCAATAAAGCTCCTTCAATTCAGAGGGTATGCAATCAAAACGACATTAACGAGTGTACATAGTATTTTTAAAGGTCCGAATTCCCTACGTGCTTACAAGGGTTGAAAGGGGGAAAAAATCAGAATTAAGCTATGAAATGATTAAAGCAGTCAAATCTTAAACCTTTAAACTGTGATCACTAAATGCGCCAGGATCCCCTATGTTTTTCAGGCATTTTCCTGAATTCCATATTTTTTCATAGTTTTCCCGTACAAAATCGAATTCCCCGTTTTCGTGGTTGCTAAGAATCATAATCCACGTGTTACAGGTTGCCTAACCCCTGTTTTGAAGTATATTTAAATATTCTTCTGGACGATATTCAATGCAGGAAGTGAAAATAATTTGTAATTGAGGAAATGTTCAGAAAATGGGTCCATAGCGGAAAATCGCGTTTGAGAAAAATGCATATGAGGTTCCTGATACCTATCACTTTCTGGTCACTGACGGTAGCATTCATTGGAGCTTGCGGAATTCAATATCTTGTGTAAGTCATCGCCAGGGACCAGAGAGTATGTACAACAATGAAAACTTCAAAAGCATTTTTCCCGAGCGCAATTTTTCGAAAGGGTCTTTTCCCGGAAAGGTTCTAATTTTTTTTTTTTTTTTTTTTTTTTTTTTTTTTTTTTTGAATGCGTAAGTATCATCTCATTAATGCGTGGCGTCTAGAATTCTCGACCACTCTCATTTCTTGATTTTTCCTTGATTTTCAGGAGCTCACTCCTTGATTTTTCCCTGATTTTCAAGAGCTCATTCCCTGATGATCCACAATCTGAGGCATAATTGAAAATAGTTTTCAGGCATTTGTTGTTCGAAATCTCAAACCCATTCTAGAAAGCAAATGAAGGTGATTTAAGAAATTTTCCCTGACATTTTCGTCATTTTCCCTGACATTTCTCAGTTTTTCCTGACATTTCCCGGTTTTCCCTGGCTTTTTAAAACTCCCTGACATTTCCCGCTTTTCCCTGACTGTAGCAACCTTGCAAGAATCGAAAATCGATTTATGACGCGGCGCAGATAGGGCTAAGTCTTGCCTTATCTTGCTGACATAGCCAGTTAAAGTTTCAAGAATCAGGCTGCTGATGGAGTGTAACCCCCCACCCCCACAAACAATCTGGCAATCTTAGATTTCTCATGAGAGAATGAGGTCCTGAAAATGAGGGAAAAATCAGGAAATGAGCATGGTCGAGAAATTTGCAACGGATTTTTCGGCGTGGGGGATTGCGAGGGGTTTGGGAGGGGGCTGGCGGGGCCCGGGCTTGGGGGTTGCTCACCTGGTTTGAGGTGTCCCTCGACGTCGGCGGTGCTGCCGGGCTTGACCTTCTCGATGACGGCGCCGACGCGTCCGTTCTCGAGGAGTTTCCCGCCGTGGACTTTGAGGCCGAGGATGGCCGCGCTGGATGAGGAGCCGCTGCCTTCCTTGAGCGTCTTCTTCAGGATCATGTGCCCGATGAGCCGGCTCCCGTCGCTGCTCTGCTGCCACGAGAGCGGGTTCTACAAACGGGCATCAACACCACCTTCATTACACCCTTCACCCACCCACCCGAGGAGCTTCACCTTTTCCCGCCCCTCAACCCACACCAATTTCTCACTCCCGCGCATCCAGCAAAAAGAGGGAATCCTACTGGTGGAAGCGAGTGGTTGCAATTGACTAAGGAGGTGATAAACGGCAACCCACGAGAGGTCCTGTGCTGCCTAGTTAAGGAAAAACGTCGTATGAGCCTTTAGACTTTGCTTTATTTCCTTCGTGAAAAACGAATTTACTGGGAAAATTATGAATATTTATCTTTAAAATTTTCGGACAATTTTGTTCGAAATTTTATCTAAAATATGTGAAAATTTCAAGGAAAAATATGTATAACCTTCCTTAAAAATATTTGTTGTATACGGATGAATTTGGCAACTCTCAAATGTTCAAACGGCGTTCTTCCTTAGCACGGCAGTGTGGTTACTTGATTATTTTCTCCATAAGGTCGGTTGAAAGCACGCGTTTCCATCAATAGGATAGCTCCATTTTCCCTTTCACTTATTTGTCCATCGATTTTTTTTGTCTATTTCAATGATCATCCGGCAGGAAAGCTTGATAGCTAGATACGATATTCTCCGTCTCGACCATCAAAATTCGGCAAAAGTACCGAAAGCTCGGTACTCTATGCTGAGCTTCTGACAGCCGGAACCGAGGATTCTGGGTCCAGTTGCCAAGCTTCTCGGAGTAAGGCCTTCCCCGACAAACTTCTTATCGTTTGACTAGAGTCTCTGTATACCGTGCTTTCTCTTTAAGGACCGTCATATTTATATAGGTCATACATCTTGGTCACAATATACGTCATATTTCAGTACCATTTTAATTTTCCAAACATGTTTGACGCAATGAAAATTTTCGTACATTTTTCCTGAACTAGGGATGAAGCAATATTCTGAGAATTTCGAAACTAAACATTTTCAGACCTGTATTTCATGACTAAAGTCAATAATTTATTTAATACTGATTTTGTTGTACTAGAACTTCCTTCTCATATAGAAAAAAATGGAAAAGTCAGTTGGGCATGTTACAGAATCGTATTTTGACTAGCTAAAAAAATAATTAAACACCAAGTTTCTATGAACAAGGATATCACTTTTGAAAAAAATAGGCGAAAGCAGTCATTTGCGGTAGTAGTGCTTAATAATTTGTTCACCTTGTTTTTATCAGTAATGAAAATATTGTAACTAGTCCCAACGAGAGCATCATCATCACTGACTGACAATAGCAACGTTAAACAGCCCATGGTACTCATTACAGCGATGGATGACCAGCGGTATTTCTCGCAAATTGGCAAAAATACTAAAAATATCTCCTTTTAAATTCATCGCAAATATTTGATTCTACGCACGACAGAGACTTGCTTTATGATATAAATAGCCCGTTGTTGACGCCTTTAAATAAATTCCTCTAGGGGTATTACTTCGGGTACTATAAAACCGAGAAACTTGACGTTTAGAAGAATCTTAATATTTATGTCTAATCCATTAGTTTTACTGTCAAAATTTGATTCTGTGACTACCGCGAGACACTCGTTGTTTTTCAAAGGACAAAAGATTTTGTCGAATACTATCTGTTCGACTGAGAAAATCTACAAAATTAAGTTTAAAATACGAAAACGTACAACGCTGTGCCATTCTAGAAGATAAGACAAAAATAAATGAACACACGTCGATGGCTTTAAAACTGTGAACAGAATAAGAATACTCGAAAAAAAAATAAATAAATAAAAAACAGAGAAATAAAAAAAAAATAATAATGTCGAATTTTCTTCTTGCGATCCTTAAATCCGCGAGCAAAAAGTTAGACCCATAGAGTAACTTGAAATGATAACATGAATTTATTTTTAATTAAATTAAGACCGAGTGAAAAGTTAATGTTAATGGTGGACATTAGATGCCTCTAGAATTTTGAACCCACCAACAGATACGAAACGAGATATTTATGGTGATACAACTATTCGAACTCGGGAGTAGCTGAGATTGCAGAACTACTCAATTGAAGGCGTTTGATTACACCCGTCATTGGATCTCGCGAGTTGACGAGTGTTTAAGGGCTCTTGATTATCTATTAACGTGTACTAATGCAGACTGAAAACGCTGATACCTCGCTAAAGAGTTTAAATTAAAAATTTTCATCGCGCAAAATGCTATGCTCGCAAAATTTTATTTTAAAAATAATTCTCGATATATTCAAAAAAATACTAACAAAATTATTCAGCCTCCTAAGTTTCATTCGCACATTTCTTTCGATATTGATACCTAATCGAAGGATAGTGCAAACGAAACTATGAAGGTATAGGAGGAGTATCTTTATAAATGAATAAAATGATTATTAATTTCACACTAATCAGTTTCGGAACATTTACATAAGTGAGGAAAAACTGCAAAATTGATGGAATTTTCGTTTTTTTTTTCTTATTATCTAAAATTTAGGAAATAAAACGCGACTTCAGTTGAAACTACGACTTTAGTTGAATTATTGAGTTGAATCTTCCCTGTTCACAATTATTTGTTTCATTGTTATACTTGCAGACCTTAACTTCTCGTAACGTTCAATTTGAATCGATACGTCAAAAAGGAAGTATGCGCCTAGGCTTTACACGAACCTTAGTTCTTTACGGTATGGTTTATTTGCACTTGGTATTTCTTCGCAAAAATACGCCCAGTTTTAATTAAATTTGCAAGAGTAGACTATTTAACGAGTAGGATTTAGAGAAAAGGGCACACTTACAGATATCTCATAGAATAGCACATCGTTAGAAGGATCGAATCAAACAGGGTAAAACTTGGACAGTCACGAGGGAAAACAGATCCGGTTCAAAATCGGAGAGAACAATCCATTAACAAACGAAGGATCAATCACAGAAACACGAGAACAGGCACAAGAGACACGGAAAGCAGAGCTAACAGCGAAAAATCATGCAGGACGGGAAACACAAATGCAAGGGACAGAGGAGAGTCCGAAACTCGGCGCAATGCAGCACTATCAACTTAAATGCAGTGATGATAGAATGCGTGAAAACACAACCGATGCATTGGCCACGGTTCAAAAGACGCTCGGATGAGAGAACAAGGGGGATGGGGGTCGATTCTGTTTCCAAGGGTGGTGCCTTTGGTCGCCGATTCCTTGGCTCCGAGTACATGAGGACAAGCTTTCAGTTACACGGTGACAAGTTTCCTTTTATTTTGAAATTTATTCCCATTTTCTTGACTTCGAGCGGATTACAACCGAAAATGGACCACTAGAAAAGGTACGAGTTAAGCATTCTGATACATGTCTTCTAACCAAAATTTCACGAAGAATACGATTTGCGCGACGGAAATTACTGAAATTAACTTCTAACTAAAATATATAATGTTTTTTGACGCGTGAATTCAAACCTCCCGCTTAAGAAAACACGATAGTCTACGTGAGTCAAACCGAACACTTAACTTTACCATGACAACCTCTGCGATTAGAAAATCTGGCAACCTCAATCTTGACGCTTTGGCTCAGCTATAGCAAATTTTTTACACTTTGAGCGATGAAGTGTGGGAAAGGTACGATGCTCGATTAAGAAGCTTGCGAAAACTGTAATGAGGCGCGATTTGACGCACGTAGCGAATTGCGTTTCTTGTGACCGGGCAATTCAAAATTCCCGTGACCAATGTAAAATAAAAACGTTGATATCTTGATTAGGAGTTGCTTACAGTGATTTTCGATGCAAGAATCGTGTTTTACGTGAAATCTAATTAGGAAACAAGTATCAGAATACTTAAATTCGTACCTTGTCTAGCGGTCCATTATCTGAATTTTTCCTGAAATTTCAAAAAAGTTGACGAAGAATTTTTCTAAATTAGTTAAACATACTAAGGTATGAAAAAACGTCTTGTAGAGCATTGAATGTTGCCAGTTCAGGTTTTAGGCGTAGAAATGACATTTCTCGGTTGCGATGTATCTGAATCTTCATGGCTAATTTATATTCAAGAGAGAAAATAGCAGGGTGGATTTTCTGTTATTTTTCATCCGGAGCATTGTAAAATAATGAGGAATATAATATGCAGTAGAAGTTTCGAAAAATTACATACACTTTCTATCATCACAGTGGATGAAACGTACATCAGCGTTGCAGTGGCGTGGCGCATTTTGCGATATATCGATTGATCTGCCATTTAAACCTATGGAAAAGAATCGATAAACGGGGTGTTCGGAACGAACACCTTAATAATCGATCCTTTACTATAGCTTCAAATGGGGAAACATCGATAATCGGTTGTTCACGCCACGCGTTGGCTCTGAGACACCGTAATCGAGAAGTGTCCTTGCGGCATCTAGCGTTTCAATTATCAACCGATTAAAGTTTTTATTTTTGAGAATAATTTGCCTCGACATTTTTAAATACTTTAGATCAAATCGTGAATAAAATTCTCTGAAAAGTTGGAAGAAAAATATTCACAGGAATCCAAGGAAATTTATATTTTATTGAAAAAAAAAAATTGCGACGTTCGCAAGTTCATACGGTATTTTTCCTTGATATGACAGCGTAAACATCGCGAAAATTGCGCTACGACGATAGAGCGAATGAATACGATCTGCATCCGAGCTGATAAAAACTTCGACGAGGCGAGAAAATTCAACGTTGAAAATCAAAATTACCTGAATTTTTACTGTTAAGAAAAAGTTACCGACTATTCCAAATTTTCCCTGACTTCTCTAGAATTTGTCACCATGTATAATCCCAATTGGACGTATTTCTGTCAAACGGAACTTTGTGCATTTTGACGTGAGCTCTGTTATGTAAATATTCTTATGGGTCTTAGGGCTCATGTCTCAATGCACTTAATTCCGTTTGGTAGAAATACGTCCAATTTGGAATCGTGTTCCTAATTTCTGTGGGCTCCGAATGTTCTCATACATGTCTAGATCGCCAAAATATTAATAAAACCTCGATATTGACCGAACAAATCCTTAAGTCCAAACTCGCTCGAAA